GGGGGTCCGGACGGTTTTCTCGATGCAGGCGGTGGTGGAAGCTTGCCTGGTGCTGGAGGTGGAGGAGGCGCGCGTGGAGGCGGCGCTTCAGGGGCCTTTGTAGCTGGCGGTGGAACTGTAGAGGGTCGTGAAGCAGGTCTCGGGGGAGGCTTCTTCAAGCCGGCAACCAAAGGATTTACCGGTGGTGCAGGCGGCGAATCGGTCGATGAGGGACGAGGAGGCGGCCTGGCTCCAGGAGGCCTGGGAGCGGTTGGAGGCTTTGGAGCTGGCGCAGCAGGTGGTCGACGTGCGCCTTCGGAATCAGAGATATATGGCGAGTCTCGATTGGCACCTGTATCGACACCTCCACGACTGCGTAACTTGGGCATCCCACCAGCAAATATCCCCCCTAATTGAGGTGGCATTGCACTGGCTGTACCATCTGTCCCAGAAACTCCTTCGCTGTTACTTCGCAATCGATTCGCGGCTGGACCGGATGGCACAGGCGGTGCAAGCCCGCTTGGAGGAGGCCTCGCGCCAGGGACAGGTGGCGCACTCGCAACGGGAGGGGCTGCTGAGACGCCTCCTGATCCTCCAATTATAGGTGCAGATCGATCATTGGTAACAGCTTTCTTCAGCCGGGCGCCCTTATGGATATCAGAAAGAAGTGCGCCCTATCTATAGGTTAGCTCACTGAATGCCTTGAGTGGCAAGTTGCTTGCAGCAATGGAAATTAAGCACCCAATCTACATACCCGGTCTTTAGCCTGTCCTTTAGAAGGTCTGCCTGGGAGACCTCCTGGAGGGGGCGGCGGGGGAGGGCCACCCAAACCTCCCGGCGGCGGCGGCGGGGGAGGAGGTGGTGGCGGCATGGTTGTAGATCAGATGATGAGATTATCAGGTAGTCGATTGCATATAATTCAGAAAATAGTCAGGTCGGGAAGATGTGTTCCTTGAATAAAAGGAACATGGGGTTGTTAGGCAGAGAAGTAAGAAGACGTCAGGGTACGAGTACGGGGAAGTGGACAGCGCCGGGGCGAAGTCTCCGCCTGGACTCTCCCATCGGAAAAATACAGCTGCCTCACAACGTTACTCATCACCACAGCCATGAAAAGAGTTGCTCTAACAGCCAATAAAGGCTCCCGGCCACAGGGCCCGATCTGTCAATTATGTCAATTCTCGACTTCAACGCCCCGTCGTGGTCTCCCTATCGCGCGTCTACCCGCTCGCGCAAGCCGAACTGCGGCCTCCAATCTGCGCTTACAGCCCTCGAAACGAACCGATAAATTGGTATTGGGCTCTCCTCTACTTATTTCTCGCCGATACGCTTCCGCTGCAACCACTAAGATAAGCCCGGAGGCCGCAATCAAAGAGATTGCGCAGGATGCATCTGCCCTGCACCAATCGAACGCTGTGGCCTCCAACGAGGTGGTAGTAGAGTTGCTACAAAGATGCCAGCGCGTCGCCGAGTCCCTTGTCTCGCGAGAACGGGATCAAAGCGAGAGTTCCTCAAAGGGCGAGGGCAGTGCGATCTCTTCTTTGCTGGACCTTGAAGAGAAGCAAACTGCTGCAATGAGCAAAGGCAAACCAAAATCCTCACTACACCCGGACCCACGACTAGCAGACTCAGTCTCACAAATTGCCATTGAACTTTTGAAGGACGAGAAGGTCTTCATCTCGCCCGAAGCTCTGGCCTCCTGCACCGAGACCCTGACTCTGCTGCGACGGGCCGAGCACTTCCCTGAGATCTTCCACCTTTACGCCTACAAGCCTGTCCCAGAAGAGGGCAGCTCTCCAGTGAAGTTGCTGAAGGCTAATCCCAAAAGTATCAACAGTGCCGTTCCGGCGGGGTTGGCTAACATGGCTCTTGGGGTCGCCATTGCACAGAAAAACCTGTCGCTCGTACTAGCCATTATCGATAACACTTTCTGCGCCCCCGCCTTCCACCGTGCGAAGATCTTCAAGAAAGCCGGTGTCCCTCTAGCCGGCCTTGCCGCTGCCCCGGCTGCTTGCTATGCTCTCGCATCATGGGCCGCAACATTCCAGAACACCATGGATCCGAACGTAGCGACTGGTATTGCGTTCGCCGCTACACTGGCTTACGTGGGCGGTACATCCTCCATGGGCATATTGGCCATTACCACGGCTAACGATCAGATGGAGCGTGTGGTCTGGATTCCTGGTATCCCTCTGCGGCAAAGATGGTTGCGCGAGGAAGAGCGCGCCGCCATGGACAGAGTTGCTGTCGCGTGGGGTTTCAAGGACCCTTATATGAGAGGCGAGGAGGTTGGCGAAGAGTGGGAAAGTCTTCGTGAGTTCATTGGCATGCGGGGCATGATTCTGGATAAGACCGAATTGATGGAAGGCATGGAGTAACTTGATTCCCTGTATGTGTATCATAAAGAGTCTTGTTTCATATAATGAGCGATTTACAATACGTTTTAAGATTTATCTACAGCTACAGTGTACCAGAACTAATATTCGGTGTGGAGATAGAAAAGTGAGACCTATCATGAGCTTCATATTTTTTTTTCAGTCGTGAGACTATGACATAAACCCAGTTCTCAGGCCCAAACTAGAAAACACCGGCGCAGTTAAGCGACAGATAATCTAGTAGACACGGTGGGGGGGAGACATGGAAGCCTTGATGACAAGACTGCCAACGTTCTGCCAGCCCTTCTTGAGGAGGGAGACGAGGTAGTTGATGGCGAGCATCAGGTTGGCAACAAGGGCCTCCTTCTCCATCTCGACGTTACCGATGGCAACACCGAGGCACAGAACCTTCTTGAGCTGGAACTTGATGGTGGACTTGACGTCGGTGACCTTGGCGGCCATGTCCTCAGCGTGGGAGACGGGGGTAGGGAACTTTCCGGCCTTGGAGAGACCGGGACCGAGGAGACGGGGAATCTGCTTGATCAGACCCTCGGAAGCAAGGAAGGCATCGTACTTGCGAGCAAGCTTCTTGATGAGCTTCTTGTTCTTGTTGAGCTTCTTGAGATCGTCAACGGACATGGCATCGATGTTGTGGTGCTTAGCACGGTCAAGATCGTGCTGGTCACCAAGAATACTATAGATTTCGTGCGTTAGCTTCTGTGTTCAAACGAGGTGTACATTTCCTTCGCCGTCGCGCATCGTAAACGGATGTAAAATTTTGCGCTGCGAGAGGGGTTGTCGATGAAAAACGCACCAGATGGCCATGTTGGGGCGGGGGACGGTGGGCAGCTTGATGGTGCCGGAGAAACGCTTGTCACGCTGGGGATCGTAGTTCTTCAGGCCGATCTGAAGCTCAACGGTCTCGTTGAAGTTACGCTTCTTCTCATTGAGAGAGTAGTTGAGAAGGTTCTCGACATTCTGGCGCACTCCGGCTGTAATGAGACAAGAGCAGTTAGTGGCAAGACCATGTAGGTGAGAGCATAAGGTGAAACGTACCGACTGTGATCTTGGACATGATTGCTACAGTCTTCCAAAAGAAGTTGAAATTCTTATGGTATGGCTCTGCGCTGAATGCTTGAGAAAAGAAATTGTCGAGGGCCGTGAATTTCTCCGCTTGTGGGTGTGGACTTGCGCTAGTCTATATTAGTATTAGCGGTGCCCTAGATGGGATTTTTTGCTTGCTGACTCATTCTATGGCCTGAGGCATAAACATGCAATATTACTGCTCCAATTTCAGCAAGACGTACGCTGAATGACTGAGGATACGATAGCGTTTGTCGTTGCTATAGGATTATACTTAGATCTCATTAAAGTTGTCGAACCCCATCCCATAGAGCAACTTTTGCGCCAACGTCACGTTGACTGGTCAATACATCCACGGACTTCACCCTCACTTCAATTCCACTCACTCATACAAATAATTGCATTAGCAACTGTCGGCTCGGCTTGAATAACAATATTGGTGACCCTGACATCTCTCAATATTACTTGACCATGTCAACATTGCTACTGCTCCAAGTAACCGCCGAGCCTTGCCTATTACGCCTTAGTCATTACTACATCTGGAATCCTTGTCGTTACTTCCAACAGGAATGGATCCAATTCCTAGATGGGAATATAGACCGTAAGGAATTCATAATTCAGAGTTCACAGTTATCTATGATTTATGTAGGTACGTTCATTCATTATTGTACTGTGGATGTACAATATAGAAGCATCGGTCCGCCACATGGCCGACCCGCTTATATCGTAGCGATCATTACTCTGTTGTTTATCCTATTTCATTGTTCCTGAAAGGAAATTTGTCATTTAATAATACTATTGTGTGGCGATAGTGGTTAGGATTGATCTCATGTGTACTTAGATAGTTACATTGTTTTGCGGATATCCCGAAGATCTAGATCAGCCGCAAGCACAAGTCTGTATTAAATAGGAACATAGTAGCCCGGCCGAGTGAATAGAATCATTTTCACAAACTGACCTACATTGTATTGATTATTGAATACATACAATATATATACCCACCTAGAAAGATCTTCAAGACTCCGCGTCATCAGCATCTCCTGACCTCGGTTCAATATATATTGAATAGTCTGAATGACCGATAAACACACAAGCTTTCGCTAAGTAGACGGGTACATAACATAGCAGCCCCAAAAATGAGCAAATAGGGAGCTATTTTATCTATTTTAGGATAAATATCGACAGGTGAAACAAACTTGACATGGTCTGCGGGGGCTGCAGATGATCGCAGCGCTTAAACGTGACCGGCGGCAGCGTCAGCCTCAGATGACTGGTCACCCAACCCCCCTTTGGCGTTGAGGGCCATTGCCTTGCATTTTGATTTAATTGAGGCTGCACCCCAGTGAGATTAGAATATTTAGACTTGACTTTCTGCTTATTCTTTTTGTGATATACTTCGGGTTTACATTTCATAACGTTATATGACCACATGCGCACCCGATACCCCCTCCTGATTTGACAGCAGATCTTTCGACTATTGACTATTAATTTTGTGGCCTATTTACAAGTCATTTCCTCCAAATTCAGCGTCTGAAAAACCACCCGGGCAGTTTGCTTTGCTTTATCATGTCTCATACAACAGATTCACGCGACTCAACTGCGCCTCAGGACTACTACTCAAGTTTTGACGATGAGGGCGCGTTTGTGGAAAAGTTCAAGAATATCGACGATAAGACGCAGTTTTACACTGCTATGCGCTGCCTAGAGGATCCTCTTACTCAGAACTTTGTACTCGATTTCGGGAACGAAGAGGCCTGGTGTGCATCTGATCTAGGCACCAATGAACTGAAACTATTGCTGAGTAAACCGGTACGTTTGTTTCACGACATTCATCTTGGTTGATTGTAAAGACTATCCAATAGCCGTGACCTGACATGATACAGAGAGACAAATGTTTCGGTACACGGTGGATGTAAGAATTAAGTACTCAAATGTAGTTGAGTGTATCCTGACATCCTGATTATAGTAATATATGGGCACCAGAGGAGCAGAAAGAAAGCATAAGGGTAGGATGTTCAATTTCATTCCCATGAGCAGTAATGACTGACCATGGATTTCCTAGGCGATTACCAAACAGTATGGGGTATCAGAACGACTACAGGGGATGATGTGCACAGAGCCAGTGCATCCTGCACCCAAAACTACACCTACACCATTACCAACCAAAAGGACCTCGCAATCACCTAGTATTGCGCCGTCGTTCCAGCACGAAGTGGATGATGCGGAGAATGCACTCAAACATCTCGCCGATCTAGATAAATCGCGCCAGTCGGCATCATTCAAGAACCTCACCTTTGCACAAGTCACGGATCAAATTTGGCATTTCTCTTCCGTGGATCATGGTCCTCGATGTAAGTATAACATCCCAAAATTGAGTCGGATGAACATTAAACAATCCATCAGACACATGTATCGGCTATAATACGTTGTTTGTGATCCCCACACTATCACAACCGAATGGCAAAGATCTCCCGGACGGAAAACGGCTTTGGACCTGGCTGATCCAATGTGATGATGGTATGAGCCGAACGGCGATACCCCATTCCCCGAGCCTCGAGTGCAGCGCTGACTTGTTTGCAGGCACAATAATATCAATCCAAGAGAACCCGTTCGCAAGACAGCAGGGAGTGCCGATAGACGAAGCCAAGCCAGTCCTCGACATTGTGCGCAGAAACATTCGCTTTATTTTCGCTGGCGTTTCGAGACAGCACTTTGCCATGTCCGAGAGCGAGTCGCTAATCACCATCCGGGTGCGCCATTTTAGTGACCTCGGACCGGATCAAGCCAATATCAAGCAAGAAGATGGGCCGAGTTTGCTCTTCTATTATATCTTCGATGACTGGGTATCAAGTTATGGACTTATCGCGAAGCGAGAACACAAATATGGTGTTGCTTTGGAGGAATTGGTGAGTGTCGTCCTTGTATCACGTTTTTGTTGATGTGTTCTGACTGTGACTAACTCCGCGCAGAGAAGCCAAATGCTCCATCGTCCGATAGTGGATTTGGTGAACGAGTTGCACTGGCTGGGCCGACGACTCGCCGTTCTCAAACGATTGTACCAAAGCTATGAGCTTATCATGCGGCGACTCTTGCAACGGCAACGCATGCTTCGCGACGAAGCGCGTTCGGCGCAACCAACTGCGCTCTCGTATGGAGCCACCTTTGGCGATATGGAGTTTGTGGATATGCGCCAGTCGAGTGTCGTGAGCAACCCCGGTTTTCATAACACAACTGAGAAATCGGTTGGGGTGCAGTTGAGCTCGACAGCTGTGGCGCGCTTCGAACGGTTGGTTGATCGCATCAATCTGTACTGTTTGAGCGAGATTGAGAACTGCCTCAATGAGAAAGAGTCCTTGACATTCCTGGTGGGTATTTTGCCGATCTTTATTCCGAGAACAGTGTTGACATGGCCTAGAATTTCAATTTGATTGCGCTCAAGGACTCGCAGGCAGTTGAGAAGCTCACTCGGATCACTATTCTGCTAGCCAAGGCAACCATTTTGTTCCTGCCCGTTAGCTTGATGAGTGCATACTTCTCGACAGAACTCATTGGTGTGAAGAACGGATACACTAAGGCGCAGTACTGGGTCAGTTTCGCGGTGATCTTCGTTACAACCATCTTGCTCTTGACCGTTTTCGGTTACGCCAGCGATACCGTAGAAGGTAAGACGATTTACCGGTCTATGGTACGAACATTCTTCCGGACGTCTCGCCAGAAAATATCACGACGATCAGAACAATAGGAGAATAGGAGAGACCACGGAAGAACCAAAGAGAGAGGACCCAGAAAATTACGCAGGCAAGATAAGTGTGGAAGTTCGGGCCTATCAGTCGGGCCTATCAGACACAGTGGGACCGTTTTTTGAGGGTCTTAGCCCGGGGGAGGGAACTCCCTTTGGTATTTCACTTACGGGGCCAACACGGTGTCCTCTTCCTAGAAAACATATACGTTTCCATCTATATAGGCAGAACTATTATAATAAGTATCATACATATATGTACTTGAACCTGTAGAATCATAAGTTATTTCTTTTTTTTCTCTCAGCCTCATTTTCAAAACGTGGTGTTGCCGTTGCGTGCTCCCCAGGAAAACAGCTGACGAAGACTACGCCCACCGCCATCGGTCGTATTTCTGCGTATTCAAAACAAAAAACGAAACCCCATTTCCCCTTCTGACTTCTCTTTTCGATAATTCCCCTGAACTTGTGCTCTTTACTTCTAAACCAAATCTTATACCTTTTTCTGCCGGTAAGTGGTTGATCCGGTTTTGACTGGCTCGTGCCCAGACTTGCCCCCCCCCTGGATCTCTGACCGACAAGTCCACAACACGTTTTCTAACCCCTCCGCTTTTCCCCTTTCAACCACATCAACTCGATATCTCTCTGACCTATCCACTCCTCAGGATCCGAGGGATTTCTCGCTACCGACAATATGGGTATTACTTTCTCGCGGTTGTTTGACCGGCTATGGGGTCGCAAGGAGATGCGCATCCTGATGGTCGGTCTTGACGCCGCCGGTAAGACCACCATCCTGTACAAACTCAAGCTCGGTGAAATCGTCACCACTATTCCCACGATTGGTTAGTCCGCTCCCCGACCCATCTACCGCCGACACCGTGATGCGCTCTTCGCAATTTCATCAGGCCGTGTGGGAGAAATGTCGAAACCCCTTCCCGGAAACTGACGCCTAATGCAGGATTCAACGTCGAGACGGTCGAATACAAGAACATTCAGTTCACCGTGTGGGATGTCGGTGGTCAGGATAAGATTCGTCCTCTGTGGCGCCACTACTTCCAGAACACCCAGGGTATCATCTTCGTGGTTGACAGCAACGATCGCGATCGTATCGTCGAGGCCCGTGAGGAGTTGCAGCGCATGTTGAACGAGGATGAGCTCCGCGATGCTCTCCTCCTGGTGTTCGCCAACAAGCAGGATTTGCCGGTAAGGATTTGGATTATCGGAGAATGTTTGTTAGATGAAATGTTATGCTGACCTCCCCCGCTTTTGTCTAGAACGCCATGAGCCCCGCCGAGATCACGCAGCAGCTTGGTCTTCAGAGCCTTACCCGTCGTGCTTGGGTAAGTGACATCCTTCATACATGCGATATCTACAGGTTCACTAACGATCGATCTAGTTCATCCAATCTACCTGCGCCACTACTGGTGACGGTCTGTACGAGGGTCTGGAGTGGCTCGCCGATGCGCTCCGGAAAACCAACCGCGATTAAGGTCTATAATGCGAATGCGAATCGGACGTGTAGCTGGATGGAGAATACCGAAATCTGCAAATGATGGATTGATGATGACGATGGCGGGGAGTTCTTTGGCCACACATGACATTGATCTCTGCAAGGAAAGGGGTTCTGCAACTGGTTCGCTACTTCTTTTGATGTTCTCTCTTCAAACGGCTCTTTTTCCTCTACGCTATGCTATTAGCCTCATTTGTTTTTTTTTTCTTCTCTCCGACGTCGCCACTCCAAAATTACTTCTCTGCCTTGGAACCCCCCCAGAGATCTGTATAAGTACTCAAAATTGTAAAATCTCAGGATCTCAGATTGGGCAAGGAGAGAAGGAGAGAACAAGAAAGGAACAAATGAGCAGAAACTTCGAAATTTCCATTTGCTTTCTATCTGCTTTCCTATTTTGGCCGCTTTAGGAGGCCTGTAGGGCTGAGTCGGCCGCAGTAAATTTCAGTCCGGGCTCAGGTACCATCACGTGTTGGACTATAGCACTCGAGGCTTTGGCGGCCATTCCGAGGTTGTTTATATTTTAGTTCTTATGGTTAAAGTACAGTAATGAAGCTTCTATCTTACCGCAATGTCTAGCCAAGAACTTTGAGATAATGTGCTACATGTACAATATGCATTGCAGTAGGATTATCCACATAATTAGGGCTAGTGGACTTCCATAGAATGCCCCAGCTTTATAGGACAAAACGCATGTAACTGCCTGAATGAACGGTATAAATATACTCAACTCTGACTGCCGAAGACGCGTTGCCGCGTTGATCGATCACAAACCATCGGTGTCTGCGGGTTACTGATATGGCCAGAGCTTTGTGAATAATTTCGTCATCTTTGGCCAATCTGATGAAGACGTCTTTGAATTTCCAGCTGTTCATAAGGGCTGTCTCATAGTCTTTGAGATCGACCATGCCATCCACCGGGAGCACGGCTTCATTTTGGAAGCATGTCAGCAATTTCCCAACCCCATTTATATTCTCCTCTTCCTTGGAATGAAGATCAACATCCTCATTGGTAAAATTGATCGGACATGGTACGCCTGGGACAAGCCGTTTCAAGTGAGCAACGAGCGACACGAGTGATTCACGAAGGCAAAATAGAAAACAAATGGCGGTTTCCCACACACCCGTGATGAGCCAAACTGGTTTCATTAGAGGACAGACTAATAACGGGGGGATTGTTTTTGAAGTAAATACAGCCGTGCATATCGAGAGTCGCACGGATTAAAGTGATTTGAATATCAACCACTTGGGTGATCAATTGGAGCGTTGACTTTCGAGGCCATTGATTCTAAACAGAGCCCAGGCAAACACCGGGCGCTTTTTCTTCAAAGACATACTCAATCCCCACAGGACTACTTGCCGAGTCAAAGGACCGTGCTAGAACTCGAGGAAAAGGGATTTTCAGCACGTCGGAAAGCTGTAGAGTTAAATTATATTGTATGTAGAAAACACGAATCAGAAATCCCACCAGCTTGCGTGTGGCGATCTGGGAAGTAATCGTGAGACGAGCAGGCCCGGCGTTGGGATTCGAGAGCTATGCGAAAACTTCGCAACCGTTATCCATTGTCAAACTAAATGCCTTGTTGTGTAGGGCTTCTGTACACTTTGTAACTCTAGTGCCTAGTGTGAGCATTAGCATGTTATTATATTGCAAGTTCCTCAGGACAGCAACGCACAGGATTGAGCTCCCTAGCAAACACTGACGGCAACCCGAACTAGTTGCTGTAGGTTAAAGTTCACATAACGCTTGGACAACTATTTTTTCTCCATTGAACCTTGGAATTCGAATCAAGTTACAATTATCGTCAAAAACCGAAAATGAAATGTGCAGCTACAGCTACAGCCACAGCCACTGGTGCTTGGTGTATCGGTGTAGATCTTCCTCGGAGATCTTCTTTCCTGGAAGAGAAAGAACCTGCTATTTACCGCATTTCGATAGGATTATTGTGTGCTCCAAATCCGATTACTTTGATTGTACTGTGTCTTGGGATAGAGCTCAGGAGAGCGAGATATGAAGTGTCGTCTGCCTAGGCGAGACATAAAGAAGCTCATATTCTGGGATCGAGAGCATGAAAAGGTGTGCATGTTGCGTTTCAAATCGACCCAAGGAATTCTAGCAATAATTGGCCTTGTAATTTTGTAAAACAGTCACCTGGGGAGTGCTATAGAAAAGTGTGATGGGGCTTCGAAGGTCGAGGAAGGGGCTAAGTTAAGCCCGTGCTGACATATCTATTAAGCACCCCCCAGGGCTTATAGAAGCAGGAGAATTTGGTGGAAAATGCACTATCCTTGGCGGATACGGAGGCTCACAACCTTATTTTGACTGTGCCTACTATGTACAATCCTTGACGACGTAAGACTTTACTAATTTCGGCCGATCGATATTAGAGACGTTATATGTAAGAACACTATGATTTGTTTCTGAATGTTCTTTTTAGATGTCTTTTTAGATGTATGTGAAGGCGATAAAAAGCATAGACTGTACAGTGGTCGTCCTTGACTAGTAATAGTGCATGTATCTAGGTAGTTCTTTCCCTTCGCGTTCCTTCGAAGGTTCTTTCTCTCCCACCAAAGACATTACCTGAATAGACATAGTTAGATACCTTTAGGTTCAAATCTACATCTATACATCTTCTGCTCATCATAATCACAACCCAGCTTCAAGCCTGACCAAACCATATTCAATACTATTCAACACATGGAATCTACACTTCCCCTCGATCAAACAACCATGTCTGCTCGTACTCTGCGTGGAGTCGAGGCCTATTTTACCGTGGTCATGGAGGACTCCTACGAGTTCAAGATAGCCCGCGAAGATTTTGAGCCCGAGACCGTCTTCCGCGAGGTTGTCATCGCAAATGAGCTGTCCGATTTATTTCAAACCGAACTCACCCCTCGCCAAGAAGCGGCATTTGAGAACCATATCCTGCACGCCCTTGCATGGATGGTGTATGGCTCAAACAAAATTGAGAAAGCTGGTAGTAGCTCAGATATTACTCTCGAACTTTATGTTGCGGTCTTCCGTGGTGAAGAAATCCCCGAAGAGATCGAAGAGCAAGACCAGGAGTACTTGTCTTTTAAGGAGAGTCTGATCCACCAACACCTTCCAGCAGACACTTCGGCTGTCCTACGCAGTCGCCGGGAGGTTGTGCAACATGCACAAGCTGCAAAATTTATGATGGACCAGTTGTGCATCCGTGGCCAGGATCTAAGTGAACAAATAATCCTCGAAGCCCACAGGATTCTGACCTATAAAGTGGACGCCGAGACTACCCCCTGGACGGAGTATAGTGGCGTTTATCGAAGTTAGTGCGGGTCTACATGCATTCCCTCATCCTTCCTTGGTTCCATACAAATGGAGTCCATGTTCCACGAGCTCAAGCGCGATTTGAAAGAAGTTACAACAAATGGAACAATCGACTCTATCGCCTTGGCTTCGAAGTATGCACATATTTTCGTGAATATCCACCCATTTATGGATGGCAATGGCCGAATGTGTCGTTTGATTCTCAACTCGATGTTACTGAAATTTGGGGCTTTCATTGCTTGTATCGGGGTAGACGAAGATGACCGATCAATCTATGAGGATGTCGCTGTTAACGGAGGAGCTCTTGAAGATCTGTATGAAGATGCCGAGGAAGAGGAAAAGCCTGAGTTGTATAAAGGTTTAGGGACTTGATCATGGAGAATCGAGTAATTTTATGGATATATTTTGTAGGATGTTACGTACCAAAGACCCTAGCTCTCTTTTTAGTAATATTATTAGTAGCCTTTTTTTGATATACTCACTCCCTAATGATGTTGTAGCTAGATACTTCAAAAATGTGTATACCCTTTGATATCAATGTGACCCAAATCTAGCATACACATAAGATCAAGTAGATTCGTCTAGAAGACCCATAATACCCATAAAAGCCATAGAAGCCATAAAACCATCGAACCCATAAAATCCGAACCAAAATAGATTAAAAAAAGAAGTGACCCGCTAGGGCTAGGACCAGTCCATTTGAGGAGACAACTGCGTAATCCTTCATTTCTTGGAGCGCCAACGGTCTTGGCACTTTACCTGCTGAAAATACCGGCTTGGGCCCTTTAGGGCTGTTTATCTCATGTTTTGCTCGGGAATATTGTCTGCTTTGACGCTGTTTCGACTATTTCATACTCCTTTTCATTGTTTTCACCTTTTTTTCCATCTCTTTTTACCTGTTTCATCACTCTAAAGTGACACAAGCCTGAGCCGTCCCATTGCCAGGCCGACGATCAACAACACAGCTCATCGCGTGCCTCTCCCTCCCTCCAACAACCACCCCTGATTTGGGAATTATTGAACCGATTATTCTATTATTACACTTCTTAAATAGATGCGCCACTGATTGAGTGATTTTGGACAACCTTGGAATTACCCCACTCATTCAATGTTGACATCTTGTCTGGCATCATGACCGTCCAGGCGAGGAGGCACTCCGCAGCCTACAAGTCCCCATCACCCTATAATTCACGAGAAACAGACATCGAAAAACAACCCACCTCCGGGCGCCATGCATACCACCACCACCTGAGCGATGACCCCGAGTCCGACGACGAGTCGCTGGACGATAACAATGTCGCGGGCTCCTACCCGCCGCCCGTCGTAGCTGGCGGCAGTCTTCGCCGCCCCCAAGCTAACGTCGGCTTCCGCGTGCCCCAGCGGATCATGCGCTGGCTCTGCTTCGCCCTTTTCGCTGCCCTCGTCCTCTTCGTCCTCACCCTCTTCCGCTTTACCATCTCCACCTCCGTTAAACAAGTCGCCGTCGATCTGCCCAAGGTCGGCACCCCGAAGCCGCCGCTGTGGGAGAGCTTCCCATTCCTCAATCGCTATGAGGGCGGTATATCTGCCTTGGTCCCACGCTCGGAAAATGTCCCCGAGTACCCCGGTGATGACTCCGACGACCTGGGTCTGCGGACGGACCAAAACGACGAGCACAATGAGCCGAAGCCAGAGCAGGACGCCAACAAAGTGGCCAAGAGGGATTTGGCCCCGAACATGTTGAGTAATGTGTTCAATCCTTATCCTGATTACCAGTCGCCGGAATACATAGAGAAACACGGCGAGAAGCGCGAGTGCTTCCTCAATGCAAAAAACTCGCTACGGGTTCCGCCTATCCAAAGCTACCCCGGAGTTCCAAAGGGCTTCCCGGACCCAGCGCTAGGCTCGAATACAATGTTGGGTATTCGGGACGACATGTGCTTTGATCGATTTAGCCGATTGGGTCCATACGGGTTGGGATACGGGGTCAAGAAAGGCGGTATTGGCGCGGGCATGGATGGGCATCGTGAGGGCGCCGACCGTGTGTGGGAGGATATCCCGCCAGTGGACTTCCGACATGTGGATTGGGCTGCTGCGCAACGTCGCTGTCACGCGGCCAATCGCCATCGCTTTAACGAGCTGCCGGAGCCGCGTCTCAACCGCTTTGTTTCTATGCCTGTGGGTGTTCCCAAGGTGAACACCCTGCCACCTGCGGAAGATAGCCGCCAGGAACCGCCCAAGGTTGGATCTGAGCGTCTGCCGCGTACTGCAGTGGTTATCCGCACATGGCACGACTTCCACTATACCCCAGAGGACATTATGTATATGCGCTCTGTCATCTCAGAGCTCTCACTGATGTCCGGTGGCGAGTATACTATTCACTTCTTGGTTCATGTCAAGGATACCAACCTTCAGATCTGGTCTGATGATGAGACATACCAGCGTGTGCTTGATGATGCGCTGCCAGAGGAGTTCCGTGGCATGGGAACTCTCTGGTCTGAGCCGCAGATGGCCCTGATGTATCCCGGTTTGGAGGAGACCTTGACTCGCGGTTTGCCAATCCACGGCGTCTACCGCAGCACGTATATGCCCATGCAGTATTTCGCTTTCCAACATCCTGAGTACGATTACTTCTGGAACTGGGAGATGGATGCGCGTTACACGGGGCACTGGTACCACCTTTTCGACAAGGTCGGCCAGTGGGCGAAGAATCAGCCACGAAAGGGTCTCTGGGAACGAAATGCCCGGTTCTATGTTCCGTCCGTCCACGGCTCATGGGAAGACTTCCGGCAGATGGTCCGCGTGCAGACTGAGAGCGGTACCAACTCTGCCAACAACATGTGGAGCGCTGTCAAGGGTCCGGCAGGCAACGGAGGCAACACGCGGAGCACAATGCAGCAACAGGGCGACAAGTCCATCTGGGGTCCCGAGCGCCCCGATGAACGAGACATCTTTGAGGTCGAGGGTGAGGGCATCCCACCCACAAGCATGGATAAGGACCAGTACCAATGGGGCGTGGGTGAAGACGCCGACCTGGTCGTTTTCAATCCGCTTTACGACCCCGAGGGCACGACCTGGCTGCTGCGCGACGACGTAACAGGCTACAACAAGGAGAAGGGCATGCCACCACGACGCACCGCAATCATCACCGCGTCGCGAATCTCCCGCAAACTGCTCATCACTATGCACCGCGAGTGCAGCCTCAAGCGCCACAGCATGTTCTCGGAGATGTGGCCGGCGACCACCGCGCTGCACCACGGCTTCAAGGCTGTCTTCGTCCCGCACGCCGTCTACCTCGACCGCCGCTGGCCGACCCGCCATCTGGAATCAGTGTTTAATGCCGGTCGCAACGGAGCTTCTGGTGGCGCTCGCACGTCCATCTTCGGCGATCGTGAACACAACTTCCGTGGTACGACCTGGTTTTACTCGGCGGGATTCTCGCCGAACCTCTGGCGCCGCTGGCTTGGTCTCCGCGTCGACAATGACGGCGGTGAGCAACAGGAGCTGGCTGGTGAGGGCCGCATGTGTCTTCCTCCTATGTTGCTGCATCCTATCAAGGAAGTCAACATGGTCATTGACGGTGGAGAGAGAGCAGAGGACCGCTGAAGACAGAAGGATCATATATGATTTCTCTCGGAATTGCTGCTGCAATTCGTGTCTTGGGCTTTGTCCCTCACACCCTCTGCTCTTCCTGCCACCTCCAGGATTCATGCACGCTTTGGGGTAGATGCTTATTTGTTTTGCATTGGCTCTCATAATTACTGTATAATGACCCCCCTTCTCATTCCCCGGTGGCATCATGTCCCCACGTTTTGGATTCCTCTTTCTCAATTTCGGTGCGAAAAAGGCGTTCCCATGGCCTGGATGGCCAGGCTATGGCTCACGATGCATTTTTGGATTTTTTCTTGGTGTTTGTCCACTCTAGTTAATAGAGGTTCGCTAGATTGTGTTCTGCATCGGAAGAATATTTGGGTTTCTTTCTTTTTTTTGGTTAGACCTGGACTGGATCTTGGAGAAGGACACCTTCTTCCAGCCCAGGAGGGCTATTTTGGTTATAAATTGTCCCTTGCACATAAATTCATACTTTTGGTTTCATTATGGGTTTTACACCCAAGTATAACATGAAAGGTGTTGCTAGAAATACCAATATGGCTATATAAAATGCAATATACCTCTCCAGCTCTCTCATACCCAACTTAACAACCAGCAAGCAAAACATCACTCAATTCCCACTCCCCATCCGTATCCTCCCCATTCTCATCCACCTCCTTCAAAATTGCAGAAACCTTCCCCGAAGCCAGCGGACTCCGCGCCACAAATCCCGTAGGCGCAAAACAAATACTACACTCATAAACCCCATCCCCATCAACTCCATACTCAAGACAAGTCCTACAAACTCGATGTCCACACTTCGTAAGCAAAACCTCAACCCTCTCCCCGTCCTGGACACAAGTATGACAGAAATGCGTCGGAAACCTAATAGGCGGGTTCTGAACCATGCGACGCTCGATCTCGGAGGCGAGTTCCTTGCCCTTTTCGACACGCGCGCGGAGGAGAGCGGCTTTTGTGCGTAGTTTGTTCATTGTGGTTGTGTTGAAGGGGTTGTTGGTTGCGTTTTTGGATGGTGTTGGGGTTGTGTTGGGCTTTTGAAGGGTTGGCACTGGCTCGAGGAAGATTAAGGGCTGAAAGCGTTCGCAGATTGGTTTGTTTTGCATGCTTTTTTGTTCGAGGAGCCAGCGTCGGCGGATCTGGCGGTTTAGGAGGATTGTGTAGATTATTGTGAGGGTCTGCCAGGCGCGCCATGTGGAGATTGGGTCGAGGGTGTCTGGGGTTGGGTTTGAGACTTTGCTGGGGGACATTGTAATTGGGCTGAGGAGGAGGGTTTTGGATTGGAGATATGTGTAGTTTCAAGGATTTCAAAGAATATGAGGATATTTCATGTAGTCGAGAGGGTGTGGCGAATATGTAAAAGTATAAGCTTCACAACCCTAATTTGGGTTCTTCGGATTGGAACTGCAGACTTTGAGCTGCAGTGCTTAAGATCTTTATATTTGCAGGAAGATATATGTGAAGGTATGTAGAATATATGGATAAATATAGCAATGTAGAAAAATTCCCCGGCCGAAGACCCGGATATCAAAAGAAGATATCCACCCCCAGACTAAACCAAGCCTCTGTCTTCATAGCAGTGATTGGCTGGGTGATGACTCCTTTGCCCCCGTCCAAACAGATTCGCCTAGACTCTTCGCCTCTGGCTGTACCCGGGAACCCGCCACGGGGGATTTTCTTTTTCTGACCTGCCAAATCGGGGAAATATTGTTGTAGATCAACCAAGATGTTCCTTTGAGGCTCAAGAAAGTTGAGTCTAGATGCTTGTTAGGTGACTGTCAGATCTTTTTTTTTTTTTTGCATTGCAATGGAGAAAAGATCACTTTCAAAAAGTGATGGTTACATTGGTCTGGAATATCTAATAGATATGTTGATATAGAACTTTTCTTCTTTCTATACAATAAAAGCCATTCTATCAGGCCTGCCCTTGTATTCAGTACTCAAATATCCCATCTTAGTTCTATCCTTAGTCTCTTGTGTAGAAATAAGAAGTCAACTCCCCCTTCTCCTCCAAATTGTCCGTCTCAACATATTCCCAGGACAAGATAGAAACCCCCTTGAAATGGAATGTATACAAACACTTGACCCCAGAACCCGAATCAACGCTCTTGGCGGATATTATATATTCCCCAGGAATAGACGCCCCATCTTTCCTCTCCTGGCATAGAGGCGTCAACTCCCAAACCTGGATAAGTTGATTTGCTGACAGCCTATCTACCAAGCCTGATGACCATATCTCGATTCGTGAAGTGGTAGGTTTAGATTCCACTTCAGCCAAGCGCATAATGAACCGCACATTGTCTTGCAAAGGCTGTTCCCGCACGGTCGAGCCCACATTTGCCTCCACACAGACATACTCTCTATCATATGCCGTGCTAGTTGGGTACCGCGGGTAAAAGGCTAAAGTCCCAGATGCTTCACATCGAGTAGCACCTGCTTTCTGTGAAGACTTCCAAGTCCCATGCAGAGCCCGAAAGATAGCTGACGCTGCGGCCTTCCGTGTTGTCTCGTGGCCAGGGACAAGAGCGTCGCGCAAAGCACCTAATGTCTTTTCTGTCTCACTCTCTGTGCCTGGCGTTTGCGTATCGACAAAAGTATACCTCGCAGGAACAGCGGGCCCAGACCGACCATGGCCTGATCCCAGTGCTGAGCGACTAATATCTAAATCCTTGGCGAACGACTCCATCAATCCGACATAGTCGCCCATGGGGAACTGACCACGGGCTAAATCCGGGTGTGCCAATCTGAGACTGCGAAGGCTTTGCTTTTGGTCATCTGTTTCACAGAGCACACTGTTGTTCACCTCACTCCATATTTTTCCAAGGAACCTTGCTTGCATTTCCATCACGCCCCAGTACGGGCCACGGTAGAATCCGACGAATCCGATATCGGGGATTTCCGAGCGGACGGTGCCTCCCTTGTCGAGAATCAACGGTGAGAACGGATCCGTTTTAGAGTATTCAAGGGTCGTCAACACTTCATCTGGTAGCAAGGACAATGACTTGTACGGCGTGAATCCGGTGGCCATTACTATCGTCGTCACATTTTCTATCATCTCGGTGACCCCATCGGGCCGTTCGTACTGAACTGAAGCTTGCTTAGTATCTGGATCAGATTTCACAGAAGTCACCCGGCCCATCGATGTCTGAATCGCTCCACATCGGACGAACTCGGCGTAATCATTGCCTATGGCGACCCATGGTGGCTGGGTTCTGGATTCTTCGGCGCCATGTGGTGAATCCATGTGCGCGTATTTCTCATAGTCACTTCCGAGCAATGACTGGAAGTAACTGTTTGTTTTGACTGCTTTTTCTTCCGGGATAGGCCCCAAGGCGTAGTCTATTGGACCCGGGGGCCGGCGGCCTAGGTCATACATGGCCAAGTCCAAGGGTAAAAAAGATGGACTCCCATCGGAAGATTCATGTGGGAGATAAGTTGGTAAAGTCCAGAAGGGTCTTGAATGTATATGGTGCACCTTTGTCTCTTGGGGATATTCAATTCTGTGTGTGGAAAGTGTGGATGAAGATTGGCGTAGAGCAACAGCAGATGCGGCTTCGACGCCTGACATGCTGCCGCCGATGACGACAACCTGGCCATTCACATCTTTGGTTTCATTAAAAGATGGCTGCTCTCGCTCATAATGGAGGGAAGAGCTGTGGATGATTTGGCCTTGGCTTTGGAATTGCTTTAGACCTGGTATATCTGGAACATACTGCTGGGCAAAGTACCCAGAGGCGATGACAATCAGGTCAAAATCTTCTGAAGACACTCCATCGTCCGGTAATTCATATTCCGTCTGAGCTTTCTTCGTACTATATATGGCTGTGAGTTCAACATCCAGTTCGAGTACAGTGATACACGAGGATAGTAAGTTCCAACATACCTCTCGTGAACCCACTGGACCTTCCACTTCGGATCATCTCCATTCTCAACCCTTCGTATAGTCTTTACCACTCTACACCCTAGCCGAAGTACATGGGTTGGAATATACCGCTCTGAATAACAGGTCAAGTAGTCTCCAACCTGTCTCGCCTGAGGAAAAACCGGAACATCCGCGTCAGGTATCACAGACTCCCAGGCAAGATCCGAAAAAGCAACCGTGAAGCAGCTGAGGTTGGTCCGCATTCGAGGGTCTAGTGTAACCGGGGGCGTATTGACCTGATTGGGAGAATGATGGTGACTTGACCACAGACCTCCGACTTTGTCCTGGCTGTCGAAGATGATTGGAGAGAATGTCCCGCGCGGGAAATTATGAAGCAGGGTTTTGGCGGTGACTAGGCCCGAGGGACCGGCGCCTGTAGGATGTGATGTGAACGTTAGGTTGGATATACCACCTGGGTATATAAAGTTGTGCCCGCGGGGTCTCTGGACTTACCGATTATTGCTACTTTCTTGGGTGACATCTTGGAGTTGGAGGTGAGGTTTCCAATATACAGGAAGCGCTATTGCTCCCCTCTGTGTCTGATATATACCTTTCAATATATCAATATACTAACGCTGGGAGTAATACAAGGCAGACTCTAGCTGTCGCTAAACTTACCCCGCTTATATCCACTTGACACTTGAGAAACAGCTCGGGTCTCCTTCTGTTTTTATACAACATATTTACATGTAAATAATCATTTTGAATAAGACGTAGTATTAGTTTAGTAACAATTCTGCGAATAATAATACATTGTGTACAATATTAAACAACTGGCGTAAACCTCACCCACGTCGCTATACCCACATCGGGCTTAAAACTTATAATCCAAACATTATTTAGACACGTATACATTGATGTACTTTGTACCTTGTACATCTCTTCCAAATTCCAATTCTTAAAAAAGGGCGGAGCATATCACTCTCGGCATGTATACCAGCAAATCATGACGTTAACGCCAAGCATAACCTCAGCACAGGGGTTCATGAATTTCCCCATGGAGCAACCCATTACAGGTCATTTGTCTGGCCCCCCAGAAAAAAAAAAAAAAAAAGGCCACTTTAGTGCCAGGATTGAGTTTCCCCATATTTGACGGGCGCTCTGGAGTGCGAGTGGCGGGAGGGGGAAGAGGAGAGAGAAAGCTCGAGAGAAGGCCTAGCGGAACTCTGTCGTATTCGCATTGACGTTTACATCCCCGTGCTCGTGCTCATTCCCATAGGGACTTGCGTGCAACTGGTACTTTCGCGCTCAGGAGACTCGCCGTAACCATTCAGTGACTTGGATTTGGGGCGAGTGTAGATTGGGCTTGTAGGCTTCGTTGCATTCTTGCTCGGTGACAAAGGTGTCAACGTTTCTCTGTGTCAGGGGACTCTTGTACTGGTTCTGTTTTCGGAGGAGTTCCTTTTCCGCGAAAGCGGATGGTGAGAGCTTTGATAGTGTGTTTCGGAGTCGTTTTATGCCACTGGGGACGGAGGGCGGTCCTTGAGGTGGACCGGACGGGTTGTCGGATCTCCATGGGTATTCTGGAGTCACGGATTGGACGTGCTCCTTCTGCGGAGAGAGTGTTCTCGACATTTTGTGGAGATTGAGGGAGTTCACAGCATCTAAGATGATTTGAGTTGGGAGGATTGGAATGTGTGGAGAGGGATTGATTTTGATTAAGTAGGTACAATATATAGGTAGTTTACTTTGGTTCTATCATCTAACTCCGCGGGACCCGCGAGGTTGTGCCTTGTAGTATTATTGGATCCCCGGTTATATCCTCGTTTTAACACGCAGTAGTCGCTAGTCGCTAGTCGCTATACTTCCCCCACAAGTTTTTCTGGGTCATGATCGGCAGATGCATACGAACTTAGACTGATCTACTATTTCTCACCGGTAGGAATTTGAGGATCTCCTAAATAATAATATATAGATAACGATAATGGTGAACAAAAAACCGGTGTAGCGTACTACGTCATATCGGGAGGGAGATGCCGATCAAGGATGGTCTGGCATAAATTGACCCAGGGAACTTGGAAGATGGGTTCTTCTTGACGAATAAGAAACGAGGAAATCGAATAGATCAATCATTCAAGGTTGGCCAGGTGGCCATAAGCCGTGGAAAGTATACAAAAATACTATGAAAACTCAAACTGAGCAGGTGACAGCCCAGAGTTTATCACATGTATACATGTATACATATATACATCTATACATCTATACATCTATACATCTATACTGGCAGACGATAGACATTTTGAATGTAGAAGTTCAATTTCCATACTTAGTAAGTAAACCGGAAACTGGGGTGATCATCCCCAGCATTCTCAAGCTCCTCTTTGGGCCAATGGTACCGATGATCCCTCTTACCCTGCTCACGCAGCCGATTTTCACGGTATAAATAACCAAAGAACACAGTACATGCCACACCACAGATCCATACCATCCCTAGACTGACACCGAACCCAGTTCTGTATGTTGGAGCCTCCGAGTCAAAGAAAACATTGCTAGCCACCAGACCGCCACAGTTACCAAAGCCGATCTGCATGGCTGAGGCAATCGATTGCTTGTAGTGCCCAGCCATGTTGTTACTCACCCAGCCCAACAACATCGGCTGCGTCATATATCCTCCGCCCGTGATCGCAAATAGGGCAAAGTATCGGGCAGCGACTGGCACTGACTCCTGACATATGAGAATAATGTACCCAATTGTGGCGATGACACATCCCATCAATGTGAAGGTAAATCGATGGCGAAGTCGGTCGCTAATGAAGGCTGTAGCTAGTGCGATTACTGTTGCAACGACGTAGATCGGGATACTCATCACTTGAGCTCGAACAGATGTCCAACCGAGCTGGCGGAGGATGGTTGGGGTGAAGAATGATGTTGCGTAGCCCGTATTGACAATCCCAAAGTACATAATAGCACTAATATTGATTCGTTGTTAGTGGAAAGTTATCATGGAAGAAAGGTACGCAATATTACCCAAGATAGATCTTGATATCTGAGAATGTGCGCTTGATTGCTGGCTTGTCAAAGCGATTCATTTGTGCTTCACCGCGATCTTCTGATAGCCGTCGAAGCAGCAAAACACGTTCCTCGTCATTTAGGAAAGTAGACGTTTCGGGCCAATCGACGATGAGGAATTTGGCAGCAATTCCAGTGAATACTGTAAGTAGACCTTCGATGATGAAGATCCAGCGCCAGCCGCTGTATCCTCCGACACCGTCCATCTGGGCAATTCCGTAGGCAAGAAGCTAAAAACGAATGGTTTAGCATAGAACCACTCCCCCACGCAGGGAATACATACTCCACTGATTGCACCGGCCATGATACTAGCACTGAAGAAAACATTGAATCGCCATTGCAACTCGTGGCGCTTATAGTACATAGCAATCAAGTAGATGCAGCCTGCATTAGAACATTAGCATTGGTGCTATCAAGGGATCAAAAGCTATCCAACCTGGCATTAATCCAGCCTCAAACAACCCAAGCAAGAAGCGACACGCAACGAGGCCACCGAAGCTCTTTACAACACCTTGGCATGTTGTAACAACGCCTAATATGATGGAGTTTAGTCCCAATCCTTTCACCTTATATCAATTTATTTAAACATACCCCAACAAAACATAATCCCACTCAGCCACCAAGACGGCGATACCTTTTTCAAGAGGAGATTGCTAGGAACCTCGAAAAGGATATAAGGAATGAAGAAGATAAACAGAGCGATATTGTAATCATGTCCCTTCATCCCCAAATCCTTTTCAAGACCTTGAATTCGCGCATTACCGATATTGATACGATCAAGGAAGGCGAGTAAGAATAAAAACATGAGAATAGGAACGACATGGATGTCAAGTTTCCATAGGAGTCGTTTCTCTGCCGCTGGATCTATGTCTGGCACGGAAATCGCGGAGTTGACGTCCTCGACCGTCTCGTTGTATATCTTTTCCTGGTCCATTTTTGGTATTTCAGATTGTCCTTGAATCAAGACAAGTACCCACCAGGATGATTAACATATGATGGTGGAATATAAACTCTTTTTAAAATATATTTGGCTACTCCATAATCCGGTCTGGGGAAATCCGGGGTCCCCGCACGAGACATTGTGTTGATTTCATTCCGCATTCTTTGATCGTAGTCGGCAGTTGGTTCCGCCACCCAGGAATGCCAAGAATATACGGCTTAGTGCCTAGCTTAGTGCCTATTCTGGTATTTAGGCTTGGTCTATACCGAGTATTTGATCGCGGGCTTGTTGAGGGCTAGGCCCTTGCGAACCTATTCACTGTATTGGAGGGATCCAGACCGAGGTCTTTGATATTGCATACACCCAACGCCCAAGTCTAAGAGCGGGGTATCCTTCCATAATTTAGGATTCGACGTGGCGTTGAGATGTTTAAGTTTGTGGCCAGTGAAGCCGATCCTATTTAAGATGACGGAACGGTACCCCGGAATGATGCCGCATCTTGTCGCGCGGGAGCCTCTTCTGTTTACGGCTAGCTGGACAGTTGGAATAACCGATATAAATATAGCCGAATATTGAATTCAAATGCTAAACTAAAGGTGACTAGAACTTGACCTTCTCATGCTATTATTCTCACGATCAGACACTCTTGCGAATAGTCGGCTCCAATGGGAACGCCTGCTGATCCTCTACAACATCTTTGTAGACTGTATCCCAGCGTTCTTGGAGTTGCTGGGGTGTTTCCCATGCGTTTTCAGGGTCTCGCAGCCAGAGTCTCAACAAATGACGCCTAATACAGCCATACCGTCAGCATCTCCATAAAATAACAGCACATGTGAAAGAACAAGGACGTACTCTTGACCAGGCTCATCTCTAAACCCATTCCGCGCGTGGAAAATGCTAAGATTATTCACATATTGGACGTCGCCTTTCTGGAAATCCAGAGCGGCACTGTGCTCTTCTGCCAAGAAGTGCAAAGCGTCGAGTGCCTCGGCTTGGGCTTCCGTGATAGGGGGGATATCCTTCGATCGGGGCTGAGCCAGGAATCCAGTGAAGTATCGTCTTGCATACTGAATTAAAACCCTCTCAGGAGTAGTGGAAGTGGCTGGCTGGTGGTATAGAAGCGGGCGGAGGGTATAGGGACTGGCCGGGTTATTGAAGCTGAACAGTGTTAGTTTGCAAATACGCTCCCTTAGCACTTGGTGATTCTTACCCGTCGACTGGCCAATCCTGAGACAGAGTGTGGATAAGATCGGGTCTTTCCTTGGCCAGGATGTTATACACATGCCAGCTGCTAGAAAGATAGCTTTCTCCTCCCTCTGCGGCTCGGTTCAGACAAAGGAGTGAGACGATATCGCCAGCATCAGTATGGAAAACCTGCTTATCAGGCGTGTTTGAAGGGGCCCCGATAAGTTCTCTCTGGGTGGTGCTAGTGAGGTCTTTGATATGGGATATCACGGGTGAAGTGCCATTGGCCAGTCGTGCGTATTGCTGACGTCCTCGGATATTGCCGATGTGAGAAGATACACCGGTATAGATGATGATGTTCTCCTCTCGAGAGTGATCATCAATGCGCAAACCCCGGAGAACGACGAATCCTCGACCGGTGTGGATCTCCTTCGAAAGGTCTCGAAGAACAGGCCGAAGGGTGGGTAGAGGGAAAGTCGACTGGTTGATATGCCCCAAAGATAAATTAAGAGCTGCCAAATTAGTAATAGTATCTACGTACTACGACCGTAATTACCTACCTTTGAAGCTCTTCAAAGCAGCGTCGATTTCATCCAGCTGATTATCGCTCAACTGATAAACCCAGTCATCCCGCTTCTCAACATCTTTTCCTTCCCAGACCAGCGGCGATACCAATTTCTGCGGGAAGCCGGCTGGCAAAGTGGTCTGGAGTGTCTCAGTCTCCTTTCGACGACGAGTACGCTCCTTGTACTTTTCATATTCAGGTTGATACTGAATATCGGGCGGGGCGGGCACAGTGATAGTCTGAACAGCGGACATATTGGTTATGCAAAAGGTAATTGGAAGAACAGCAGATGTGAGATATGAAAGACCATTTAAATAGCGCAGATTGGTCAGCTTTGCGTGGTTAAACCTTGTGATCGCGCCATGATGTGCTGATACTCCGAATGTGCTGGCTGTCACGACATAAACCCCGCAAAGCGCGAGATCACCCTCGCAGCACTGGGAAACCTTTTATGTAGCACACCGTTGCTTAATTACTTAGTTTCAATCTTATTATCTTATATCGGCACAAGCTTCCGGGCATGGCATCTAACCTTGGACTTTATGTTAGCATATTAGGCAAGGCCCATCGGAGTCCATTGTATTCTCAGTAGAAACCTCTGGGGGTAGTCTATACACTACATCCATGGATGCGCATGAGTAGTAATATAAAGGAAAACTAAAGATGCCTTCAATGTCTTCTGTCTCAACCCACTATTAAAATTTGAAACGCTCTCGGCTCTTGCTTTGGAATCTGGGGATTCCGCTGGAGTCCTCCGGATATACCCAGCGCATGAACGAGAGTATAGAGTTCATAATCAAACGCCATATGTTCGTTGCCATTGATAAGAGGATAAATGATTGAATGATCTCATCAGTGAGATCTTAGTCGTGGATGCAAAGTTGACTGATGATGTATGATGCAGCCTCGGCATGTTGAACGATTTCACGGAGACTACGTAAACCCGCAAAGATGCTTACTAGCAGGTCGTTCTGCAGACGTTTCTCTTTCAAATCCAAGAATTCTTCTTCGGTTTCTCCAATGTCCTCTGCCTCGCCGCGCAAGATTGCCACACAGAGCTTGAGTGGGATGCTGGGACCGCTTCCGACGCACTCAATCATGTTGGAATAGACTACACCAGCAAGTAAATGTAGGGTAGAAGATTCGAATACAGTTTCTTAGACGGGTGTGAGGTTTGAAGGACCGCAGAGAGTTGGTTTCCAAGTGTGATAACCTCAAGGAGGATCGTGCGAGTCGAAATCGTTTGCGCCAATTTTGTAATTGTAGGCCTCATCCATCGCAACTGTGAACTCAACTTTCCGTGCATAATGAGAAGAGTTGATGCCATGTATTGTCGTAAGGACCTGGCAAGGTTGATATTGGTAGGTGGGTATATTTGTGGAGAGGAAGAGGTTGGTTTGATCTGAAGTCCTTCAATGACGTTGGAGAGAATTGTTCGTTCGTCATTTTGATTTCCATTAAATTGAGGTGAGGTGAAAGTGGGCAAAAGACTCGTGAAAGAAGTGGAAATTTAAGAAAAGAGAAGAAAGTGCGAGTTCGCGGAAAGTTGAAAGACAAGAAGAGAAGAAACTGGAAAGTACCACTTCGAGTGTGTAGAAAGAGAGACTGACGTTTAGTCCGTATACATATATGTATATAGTTATCTAGTAATTAGTAGCCTTTGATATTCACTAGTTCTGTAACCCAATACACCTACCATAATATATCGATCGATCTTCTCCCCTACTATTGGTGTTTCAGAGACTTATTTTCTAACCATATTGAATATAGCGGTGGTAATTCGAGATGAAAAGAAGATAGGAAATAAGATAGTAACCTATACATAATAAACTATTCAAAATTACGACTTAGACCACCGATTACTCACAATATAGCACTGCTAGTCAATGTTGTGTAGCATTTTGCCTTGGAAACATCTGCATATGACTGATGTCTGAGACACAATTGAACGGTAATTCCGAAGCGCCAGGCCACTTCTGGCACTATGGTTGAAAGAGTGTGTCAAATGATGATTGACCGTTCTCAGATTCCCCGTTTCGAGAGAAAAGCCCTGGCTATCTGAGGGGGCCGGGAACTATGCACCAATCAACCCTAGCAGGATATCCACGCTAACTTGACGGCGCGTGCATCATGCAGTGTTCATCAAAACGATCCAACAAAAGACTCAAGCGCTTAATATAACTAATTTTGGAACTTTTCTCGCCCCTGATAATAATATTAAAGTCCCATTAGACTTACTGCTAGCTTCTTACACAGTCGTGATTGACAAATAAATGAGCTCCCCAGCCTGCGTAATCTTGGACCCTGAAAAAAAAGCACACTCTCTTTAGTTGGGTATTTGCTACAAAACGGTTAAGATGGCGGGTTGGCGGTTTATGCTAATTTGGGTATTGGGTCCCTCTTTCGCCAACGCTGGAATTATAAATTTTGCCAGGAAAACGGTTTTGTCGGATCTATCTGGGGGATTTTGTCGCAGTTACAGATTTGGAGGTATGTAGAGAAGATGCCAACGTGTTCTAGACCTCTGATGCTTATTGTGCAGCGGATATTGCCAACAATGTTTTGTACATGGTTGGTCTGGATGGGGGACTCATTCCAGATGATGGTGACGCTTCGAGTAAGTCAAAAGCTGTTTCGTCAAGTTTAACCTGGTATACTTATGCTGTTTCTTAGATAATTATCTTGTGACGCTCGATCTCACGTCTTCTTTCTCCACTTCCGAGGGCAAGAACTATAAGATGACCAAGATCGACACCGCTGTTCCTATAGTTAAAGACATGGCGGTCTGGTCCAACGCGGAAAACTCGACATTGTATCAGTATGGAGGCAGGTTTCTGAACAACATCACATCCGAAGACACGATCTGGACCTATACAACCAAAGAAAAATCGTGGAGCAAACAGGATGGCACTATCCAGCCCTCGAGACTGGAGTACGGTGGTATGTTGAAATTCGATCGTTATACCGAGATGTGGTTCTGACATAGGCTTTCTGACAGTGTATACGAATGCACCCGCTATCCAAGCTGGCTTTTGGGTAGGTGGTTATCGGGCTAGTGGTACGACGGCTTCAATCACAGACTCAACAAGGGACTACGCCACGGGGATGATTCAATTAAATACTACAACCGGCCAGTACACAGCTCTCGATGGGCCTTACGAAGCTGTCGAGGAAGGTTCGCTTTCATACGTGCCAGTTGGTGACAAGGGAATTTTGGTGTATATTGGTGGCGACGTTCCCTCGATCAAGGATGGAATCAACGCTACGATGAGCGCGGTAAGCTTTGGGAATCCCAGTATGAAAGTCAGGATGCTAATAAAGGTCTCAGAACTCATGGAGCCATGTCCAAGTGTATGACATTGCTGGGGCGAAATGGTATAATCAGTCCACGATGGGAACGGTAGCGTCCCGAACACAATTCTGCGCCTCCGTGCAGCACGACGAATCCTCGTCCTCATATCAGATATATGTTATTGGAGGGGCAGATCTGGAATCCAAAGACACTATTCTTGATGTGTGAGTGGTATTCTTTTTATCGCGATCCCTGCGCAATGGCCTGACATTTCTTTTAGAAATTATTTATCAATTCCGTCTTTCAAATGGTACTCTGCTGGCCCCCTCGATGACCCTCGCATGACCCTCACATGTGTGACATACGGGCGTCAGATCTTTGGAATTGGCGGAAGACTTGCCTGGGCAGATGATAGTCAGGCAGGCTGTTACGATGCTCCAGCCTTCATATATGACGCTCAATCCGAGGCAACGCGTTCGTCGTTTGATGTGAGTACTCTACCCTCTTTTGAATTCTAATTCAACAAATTAATAGCTGAACAGCCCACCCTATCTTCATTTTCCCTATCTTCTTCGACGGCCAGCGATATCAAGGCCACACCATCTCCCTCATCGTGGGCTGATCCAGCCTTTAAAACCCTATTTGGAAAGAGTGCAGCAACAACCAGTACTACTGCTAATAACAAACCCTCTTCCACATCCGAGCCACAGGAAGTTAACACATCCGACCCATCGACCAAAGGTGCCATCGCAGGTGGGGTTGTCGGTGGTGTGGCTAGTCTAGCCCTTATCATTAGTCTACTGTGGTTCTTCGTTGCAAGGAATAAAAAGCCAAAGAATGCGGAATTAGTTGAGATTATACCACACCAAGTGCAGACGATGTCTGAGCTTCCAGTCGGTGCCAGGGATGGGCGCTCTGAGTTGCGAGGGGGCACTCAAATGCGTTGGGAACTTCCCGCGGATCATAAGGGGGAAATATCCGAACTAGACAGTGGACGGAATAGGTAGTTAGTCCTCAGTGCATATAAATCGATCATAATGAGAATATAACCAAGAATCGATTGGCATTTGGCCGTCTGAAAGTCACCTTCATTACCGTTTAGGTTATTTTCCAAGATTCGCCATTGAAGGGGTTTGTTTGAGGTGGCAATTTACAGTGACCATTCAAAGGTACAAAGGCTGGCACATGAGAGGATTTGTATTGGCTAGCTGCGAAGAGAGACAGAAAGAGAGGAAACAAGGTTCTATCTCCCTGAGGCAGTAATGCGCTCTCAACATTGTCTGATATCCCTCAATTCGGATGTAGGCTAAGGATGCACGGCGAAACTACATTTCTCCTCAGCTGGGTGAAGGGTTTCTCGGACTTAGTCTACCTCCCAGTTGTTTCTATACTCGGCGTTTGACTGGGATAAGAGTGTCCTTCGCGTTTCCTCATGAATACCATTCTCGATATCCCCTTCGTCCTGCACCTCTGGGTGTGAAATACGCTGGTAATCCCCCCCCCTGGCTGGCAGATTGCGATTGTGTGCTCATCCAACCTGTCGGACGCCCAGAAATCCGAATGAAAGCGATCTGTATAAAGTTGCGGAATATAAGCCACTATAACCCACAAGCCTCACTTAGGTAAACCCACCTTAGCAGCGAAAACAAAAATAACTGCCGCAAAAACCATCCAAGACGTACGATGCTGGTGCTCTCTCCAGGGGGCAAAGCAACTCCTCTGATATCCCAGTTGCAACTCGCACGCATTGTCCCCGTGGTTCCGGTCCTTGAAAGGCCATGCTCTGTCGTGAACACTTCGAAGACCACAACATCGGAATTCATCTTGGATTGACCGGATAGCGTGTGAATTCTTCGACTTGAAGAACTCCTGCCATTGTTGATCTAGGTTACATGAGAGAATCCTGTCAGGAAAGAGGTACGCAAGTGCTACTGTGGCCACAATGGTCGATATGACTGTTTGAACCTGATCGAGTATGCGAGGTATTGTGGACCATCGGTAATTGCGAGCTGTCTCGTTATTCAAACGGGTAGAAAGAATTCGCGTAATTATCGGTGTGAGTATCATGATCGGGGATATGAGGGTTGCGATGGCTGGAACCCATGTCGGCAAGGGAAGAAGTAGTGCGGTGGTGCGAGCCCAAGATATCCTGTTCCGCAAAAAAGCTATAAGTCACTATCTTCGTTCAACGTATGCCACCTAGACATATGATAGAATGCGCAATAACTCACGCTCCAAGGAGCAAGGAGATGATCCCTCCCTAATTCCGAAATTTGTTAACAGAGGTCATCGCCAGGGTGGAACTCCAATATCGTACCACAATAAATATGATGTAGAGGAGAACGGTTGTGTCGACCTTGAAGGGCATCATTTCGTACGTAATGAGATCCTTTTTGGCAATGCTTAATTGAAGAAGAACTCCGAGGAATAAGTATAAACGGGTGTGCTGAGGAGGTGAACAAGATAGGCGGGGCATGTACTTTTTCATTATTACACAGGTTAGGTGATTAGTCAAACATGGCCTGCAGCCCAGGTGTTTGCTATACATAGCTATCTACCAGCTCGCTCTCTCTGTCCACGTCACACATGCAATGCTACGGACTTTCTCTCATAGAGAATATTCTACTGCGGTCATGCCAGCTTTCCTATATATTAGCACAATTTTACTCGCTGTCAAGGCTATATGTAGTATGACTATGTATCAGCTTAGGGCGCTGCAACCATTCTTCCTAAGTACCACTGCGGAACTTATTATACACAGTCTTACTCTAAATCTTACCAATGCCCAAAGAAGGATATTATCCTCCTGAACCATAACCCACAAAATAAAGAATAAGACTAGGCAATTATAGAATTGGCTTGAAATTAAGGCGTACGAAGTAGATGAAGAGCGTAAGAAGCGGAGAAGATCCACAGATCCGCACTACGGCATTAGATGCCTGAATGCCTCGTTTTAACACCGCTTTTTACCTCTAGTTAACTACTTACATTGGATTGTAAATCATTCGTACAATATGAACCTTTGAAGCTTTTGATTCCGCAAAAATGAAGCTTTTCAGTACTATATAAATTCAAAAATCTCCATGTTTTCCGGGGTTGCAAGGCCAAAGATTTAAACATCAATTCTCCAATGAGATGTTACCCATTCGGGTCCACTTCATGCTAACCACGGATTTTCTTCCTGTTTATATTTCTTCCTTCTGTGGATGGAAAATGGATTTATCTCGGACAATTGAATCAAGAAGCCCACCTTTACCTATAGTGGGATGAGACTAAACCGCGTTATGTGAATTGTGCACACCATCCTGTTGAGTGTACCTATAACCAAGTGCCTGCGCGACTTGGTTGACCAACGTCGTGCAAAAGAAATGCAGTCCCAGTCTCAGGCTCTAGAAGCCGACCGCGCGCGGAATTTTCTTTCATCTCATCCCAGTCAGATTTCACTATCCCAAAGCGAGCGCATAAGGAGATTGATCTCTCCACGCCGTCTCCATCATCTGATGTGAATTCGGTTATAGCGCATATTCCTGTGCATGATTTATTACGCTTGCTCCTTGCACTTTCTGCTTGATTTACCCCTGATGTCACACCGAAAGCACTGATATCAGATCCCGGGTTTTATCCATACCAAAGGAATTCGCCATCGGCGGTTCGAGGTCCTGACCAAGCGGCATTGGCAACCAGCGCAGCGATCTTGCTGATCGGCATTATTTTGTTGCTGGATGAGCAGTGGAATGTTTTGTTCACAGAGGAAAGTGCATCGAAATTACACGAGTCCATATCAGAGATAACTCCATCGACAACGCCGTCCTTGGGATCGCACTCTGCGATAACCTGGGCTGTGATGAAATCCAACTCGCACGCTAAAGGTGCCGAAGACGCACCTGTCCAACCTTCTAGGACTGGATCATGCGAAGACGAGGCGGGCTCGATCCACAAGAAAGCAGAGGCCGAAGCCGCGATCCCGTCGTATGCATTTGAATATCGCTGTGCAAGCATAAGACCTTGTCTACCGCCTTGAGAACAACCACTCCAATAGGAGTACTTGGGATCACGGCCGTATAAACTTCCCACAAGGCTTTTCATAATGATCGCTTGATCATTCAACGACACATATCCTAGATTTGAACGCCGTAGAGATTGACATTGCCTGGGCTTTTCAGATCCTAGGGCTCTGGAGAGGCAGCATCACCTAACCTCCTCCAGTTACCTATAATCGCGAATTCCATTTCCGAGGCAACCATGTCTCCGTGATGAGATCCTCGAGGCCATGGTGTGTATATGTCATGGTGGCATTGCAAAGTTTGGCATTTTGAAGCGTGGCATTACCGTGGTTGTAGTTAAATGAGGAAGGAACATCCAGGGTATAAGTTCTGACCTATTCTGCCGAGAGGGAGAGAATCTCCGCGCCAAGGACCACTGGGGAGGAATCACCGTAGGCGAACAAGCAGTTGTGTTGGCATATAACATAGTCACGAAGAAAGAAGGAAGGAAGCGTGTCTCGTCAATGGAATACTGAACTGAACTGGTTTTCCTTTAGCTGTTTTGGCATGTTCTCAATAAACCTTGATGTAGACATGGGGTTATCCATTATCGGTTTGTCATCTGAGACGTTTTCAAGTTTTCCACTGTAACCAGTACGAGCTGCCTACCTAGGTACTCTAGGAAGTTTGGAATTTGGAACACAAAACATGGTAGTTGTCCACCTTGCAGGAACATAATGGAATCTACCCAGCTTGGTCAATAAGGATCTCGGGAGATCTAATGGTTGCCAAGGAGACTAAACCATATTCGGTTAGAATCCAATCCTAAAGTGGCAGTTCGCATTCGGGAAGGTTTTTGAAGTTTCCAGTTTTTCCAACCTTGGAACATCCAAAGTTGCCCCAAGGTTGCCCCTTCTAGGTAATTTCCCAAGTTCCCTTATGCTTTCACAATGTGGGTGATGTGATACACTCCTCCCCCGATAATCTCGTGCGCAATGTCTTGTACCTTCTCGCAATCTTCCTTACTACGGGCAACTAAGGGTGCCACCGGGGGCACAACTCTCAACATTTATACTTCCCTCAATATGCTAGGCGATCGACCTACAGTTGATATTGATCCACACAAAGATGAAATTACCTCTTTTATAAGCCGGCGTATCCTTCAATTCAATATATAATACCCTACGCCATACATAACCTACACATTATACCCCGCATGACAAAGAGGCGCCTTAAGGATCTTACAACCATCCAAAACTATAAATCATACTTTCCATTCATGGCTAAAGACGCTTATCTTCCAATTTGGCCTTTCCGGTGAGCAAATCATTACAACTCTCGAGACTGAAGGCACTAATATTGTCGACCTGCCTAGTCTTCAGCCATTTGTAGGTATTATGACTAACACCTAGTTAACTAATTAGTGGATCTAGAATTCTGGCCGACAATATTAACCAATGAGAGAGTTGTGCCCCTGGTGGCACACCTTAGTCGCCCGGACTTACAAGCCCATTCCTTGCTCAGAGCAAGTCCAGGCGTTCCAACTAGTAAGCGAATTTCCACAGTAACCATCGAGTCCTTTGCCGTCCATACGACGGTTCTAATCCCGTTCCAAAATGAGAACACCGTACAATTTACTCGGGAATTCCTAAGACATCGGACGGGGGACGGACGTCTTGGCCAATGAGCTCCCGACACGGCCTGAACCTTTCGGTAGTGCGGAAAACCCACGGGGAGAAATCTCCGCAAAGCGGGGCTCCACGCTCCCCGGGGTTTCTCCATAGTAATTTTTAATGAGCCCAGAGTTGGATTTTGGTGGAATGCCGAATTTGTCGTCCCGGTTGGGGGTTCAGTTTTGTCCTCATCTAATTATGTGCCATTTGACAGCAAGGCATGCAGGGCACGGAAGAAGGAAACTCTAGTTGGTCCTTTCCGGCTTCGTGTGAGTGCGGAAATTTAGATCGCTCGGGCATGTCTCCGGGCAATTTATGCCATCCTTGACCTGAATCCACTTCTGCCCGACCTTCCCCGGCTCGTGCTGTACAGACATAGGGTTAAACCTCGGCATACCTTGTAATTCAGTCGACTCGGCTTTCCTAAAAGTTTGAATGAGAAAGTAACCGTGCCAAGCCCATGGTTATATCTCTCAGGCGCAACAAGGCCGGGTTTATACCAAACAAGGTTTCCCTAATGCAACCTGCTCACTCGTTACCTCCGAGTGGACGAGGAAAGAAAAGTGGCCTGACTGCAAAGATGTTTCAGCGTGGAAAAGCTGGGGAGGGCGGGGCATACGAATAAACTCAACTGCGATATCATTGCCTAGTGGGAACATTTATTCTCAGTCCACCTCATCGCTGGTATCAATTTGTTCTTGGTTGGCAATTCTTAAAGTTCAGAGTGAGAGTGTAATTATACCAGTCTCCGTCGAATGGATCCTAAACCCGTTTTTGGGGGTTATGCTTGGGCCCATGTGGGATCTCATCCTTGGCAAAGGCCAAAAGGCGCGGCAAAAAAAAAAAAAAAAGCCCTTCACTGGCATAAACCCGATGTGGCTGACACAGAGATAAAACTCTATATAATGAGCTCGTCGCTGTGTTAATGGAAGTTTTCTTTTCGCTAACTTCGTATATTATCTTGCCCTGGTCATATCTAGATTCATCGGGCGTACAATAGATTACTCCACCGTTCCCTGTGAGGTTGCCAAAATGTCTCTTCGTGCAACTGGAGATGTCAACTCCATTGAGGCACCAATCACCTGGAAAGCCTATGCGCTTTGCGCTTTTGCCTCGCTCGGAGGCATCTACTTTGGGTATGACTCTGGATATATCAATGGTGTCAACGGTATCGAAATGTGGGTTGACATCATTGAACCCGGTCGTACCAAGCTCACTGCATCTCATTCCTCCCTCATTGTGTCTATTCTCTCCGCTGGTACCTTTTTTGGCGCTGTCCTTGCAGGTGATATAGCCGAGTGGTTTGGTCGCAAATGGACCGTCATCTTCGGCTGTGGGATTTACGCCATTGGTATTGTCATTCAAATGCTCACTGGTGTTGGGGGTAACGCTCTTGGTATCATTGCGGCTGGTCGTCTCATTGCTGGCATTGGTGTTGGCTTCGAATCAGCCATTGTCATTCTATATATCAGTGAAATTGTAAGAGTCGTCTCTACCTTCGGATAGATGACATTCTGAACCACATGCTAACATTCTGTCTTTTGTTTACAGTGCCCCAAAAGCGTTCGAGGTGCCATTGTCGCTTGCTACCAGTTCTGTGTCACCATCGGTCTCATGCTGGCGTCTTGCTTGGTCTACGGGACTGAAAAGCGCACAGACACCGGTTCCTTCCGCATTCCTATTGCAATCCAGTTTGTCTGGGCAATTGTTCTGGGTGTTGGCCTTCTGTTCCTCCCTGACTCGCCTCGCTACTTTGTCAAGAAGGGCCGCATTGAGGACGCCAGGAGGTCCCTCTGCATTGTCCGCGATCAGCCTCCCGATTCCGAATACATTGAGGCTGAACTCTCTGAGATCATCGCCAACGAGGAGTATGAGCGCAGCGTTATCCCCGATGCTGGCTGGTTCGGAAGCTGGAAGAATTGTTTCACCGGTAGCCTTTGGGTCCAGAAGTCTAACTTGCGTCGTACCATCTTGGGAACCTCCCTCCAGATGATGCAACAGTGGACTGGTGTCAATTTCATCTTTTACTTCTCCACTACTTTCCTCCAAGCCACTGGTGCGATCAGCAATACGTTCTTGACGTCGATGATCTTCACCATTGTCAACGTTTTCTCAACTCCTATCTCCTTCTACACTGTCGAGAAGTTAGGTCGACGCCCTCTTCTGATCTTCGGTGCGTTGGGTATGCTCATTTGTCAATTCCTCGTCGCTATCATCGGCGTTACTATTGGCTTTAACAAGACCCACATCAGTGACAGTGGTAGTACCATTGCCAACAATATTTCGGCCGTCAACGCCCAAGTCGCACTTATCGCCATCTACATCTTCTTCTTCGCATCTACCTGGGGCCCCGGAGCCTGGATTCTCATTGGTGAAATCTTTCCCATTCCTATCCGCTCCCGCGGGGTTGCACTCTCCACTGCCTCCAACTGGTTGTGGAATACCATCATTGCTGTCATCACTCCTTACATGGTAGGGGACAACCCTGGTGAGGCCAACATGAGGTCCTCTGTCTTCTTCGTCTGGGGAAGCCTTTGCGCTGCTTGTTTCGTGTATGCGTACTTCCTTGTCCCAGAGACCAAGGGTCTGTCTCTTGAGCAAGTTGATAAGATGATGGAAGAAAGTACCCCTCGGACCTCTTCCAAGTGGCGCCCACACTCTACATTCGCCCAGGAGAAAGAGAAAGGCATGGTGGCAACTGAGCACCGAGAGGCTGAAAATATTGCCTAGAAGGTTAACGGGCTAATTTTCTATGTATTGGAGCCAAGTTGCAATACCTCCAATCCATTGGAGCACAACACACGTATCCGCGTTGGATTTTCCACTATGAAAACTTGACCTAGATGCGTCAACATATCAGAATTTAGATGTTTCCTTTGATAGATTTTCAGAATTTAAACAACGGTTATCAATCACATAGCCCTAGTGCCTTTATAGAGACAGCTTTCCACTCAGTTTCAAGTTCCTAGAACTTGCACCGACATAAACAGGGTAGTCGGGTCCTACCAGCAGTCTCCATTTTGAGAAAGAATATCCCAAGTACGAAGGGTCGAATACCATGGTTAAATATATGGTAGAAATACAGGATATTGAAGCTTGGAATATTCACGGACCACCATAATCCAAAAGTAAAGCAGCGGAATCTGCCAACCTAGTTAAGAGTCGTACATATTTTCCATCCATACCATTTACCTCCATACCGTCAGATTTCTGTCTTATATTTTCTAACAAAGCACCCCCATTTCATACAGGCGGTATCTCTGAGTAGCCTCGTTCATTTACTTTTGCATCTCTGGAAATTAACAAAATATTCAGGTGAAGCATTGGTTACTATGGCCGTGCGTGGTCTCATGATCAGTAGACGGATCTCAACCCTTGGGGGAATAGGGACTCAACGGATTGCTGGCTGTAACATGACACCCGCTTGCCAAAAAAACGGTGAAAATCGCAACTATCTTGGTCAATTGTTGAAGGTTGCGTGTGCAATCTTGATTAGTTAGAATTAACGTGCCATCGTCGGGATTAAGCATTTCCTCCCCCTCTGGGTCATTTCTTTTGCGGTTGTGAAGCCGATGGTGGAGAATATGTTAAAAAACAAAGGAATTGAGGTAGTGCCGTCGTAGTTCTGCTGGTTGTTGAATGCTGTCGGATTGAAATTGACCACTACTTCATATATACATAGGTGTATGTATTCACTTGGGTAATGCTTAGGTGATGCAATGTTAGGATGTGATTCGTTATGTCCAAATGATCCATCCATAGATGGATGCTTAGAGTGTGCTTGGTCAGCACTCAGCTGGTGGATCTCAAATTATAACAGAAGATTAAAGCGAACCAGCAATCAAGACAAAGACATAAAGGGGATCCGGGTCCTGGTGGTAAGCTTGGGCTTTTGCTACAGGCGTATCGCGGCGGTGTGAATCTCAATCGCACCGATTGTCTCTAAGGGGATTTCCAGACTTTGGATTACTTGTTAATGTGCCCAAGAGTTGTTACCGCGACGTTTGGTTATTTTCCAGGCGTAAAAAGGGCAAAAATGTCTGTCCAGGTATTCAAAAACTTCACAATGTCAAGCGAGACATAGGTGATATCGGTAACTAAGCTATAGGACTAGGTATAGGAGATATTGTAGTGCTCCTTTACCGGCTAGATCTCTAGGGATTCTTTACTAGATATAATCCTTTATCCTCCTAGGGTAACGGCGGATCTTTATATCCGCCGAAAATAGAACCGTAGAAAATCCACGAAACCTTCCGACGAATATATCAATTAATATACGTCTGATCAAGTTCTTTCTCTTTCGATCGGGTCATAAATACCCCCATATATACTCTAGAACTAACCCACGTCTTGTAAGAACGCGCTTCTAATTGTTAAACGTCCAATCCGCGTGCTCGAGAGCAAAAGTAAGTCGTTTTGCTCAGTCAATATCCGATAATGTGGCGACGTACCTAAGCTACGCCATAACCCACAAAACCTATGAGACCCAACCCCACGTTGAGATTTGGGTCTAAGATGCCGAAATTCGATGCTCGCTGAGTGCTCAACTGCACTTACAACATAGTGATTCGCTAACCCCAATACCAGCCTCCAACGGCACATGTATATCGACGGCGGAGATAGTGACACTGGTGTGGTAGCAGTTGTGAATCGATTGCTTTGCATTTGGAGTGTGGAAGTGTGAGCTGGCAAAACAAATTAAGGGGAACAACTAGTGACATCCTGATCTAGACCCGGCTGCCTTTAGGCCCAACAAGCTCCCCTAAAGGAAAAGTTTTGAAGATTATTTAGCGGTTTGATCAAGCTTATCATGTCAGGAAGATCCTGAGAGTGATCATCACCTCAAAATAAGCTTGTGTGCTGTACGGGGTATATTCTAGACGTTTCCTAATGGTGTGGATGTGGCACATCCAGGGGTAGACGTGAGACATATACTATAAATAATCCAACAGATCCATCATTATGAAACTTGAATGACGACTACTCCATATTCACCTCGATACTCCAATGGTGAGTACTGGGTGTATTCAAGCCAATCTAACAGCAATGGCTTTATACTGGTTTCTGTAGCTTTCAAAATGTCGAAACTGAACTACTCAATTATTCTTTTTTGTTGATATGGACGAGATCCCCCACAAGCCACTTGGACGAAATGTCAGCGGATGACTGTTTCGAATTGAAATTTGATAGGCTGAAGTGGATCCTTCCCCTGAGGAAAATATTGGACTCGTCCTCATCCTCCTCTATACTCCTTACATCCATGGATATTCACTTTCGAGCTTTCGGCCCTCCTGACCTTCTTTTCATCGATATGGCTTTATATTAATTAAACTGACGGAGTATATGTTTCGGAGTATCAAAGTTGTGGGTCTTATGAGTAGTATATATATACATCTACTTCGTCCTTCTTCAGATCTCTCTATACTCATCCTCCTCAAACAATAATCCCTCAAAATGCATTTCACCAACTTTGTCGCCTTGCTTGCTGCACCAGCTATTGTCGCAGCTACCCTCGCTCCAGCTTCGTCGAACACCGAGGGTTACAAACCGAGTAGCCTGAACTGTAGTGGTGCGTGATGACAACGAACAAATGTGGAGTGCTCTTGTGCTGACTGTCATAAATAGCCGCAAAGGTCTCTAAAGCCATCCAAGCGGCCGAGTGCTCCCACAACACCCGCACTTCCAAGACCCAAACATTCGCTGTCTTCGAGACCGACCACCAATACGACTCCGTTAAAGGCGCTCCCTACGGCACATGTAGTGCATATACATGCACTGCCCCAACCAGTGGTGAGTTGGAGAAGAACTCGGACTACTGGATCTTCTATTGGGGCAGTGGTGGCAAGAGTACCGGATACGGCACAACCTGTATCAAGTCTCCCGACACCGGAGAGTGTGGTTGTGAGAACTCGGATGGTACTTTCATTGCCGGTAGTGATAGCTGTACTTAGATATAGCACCTGACTCAGACGTTCAATGTTAGGTTTAGATGGAGATAAGACCATTTCAGATATGGGAAATTAGATTCAAAGAATGCTGTTAAACGATAGCGACTGTTGTGCACTAATACCGGATCTTTATATAGTGTAGGTAAAGAGGTAAAATGAGTGTCATTGCTAAAATAAGTATGAAAAATTGACAATTTCGAAGAAACTGAATGAGCTACGTTATGACAGGTACTCCGAATGTGACCGACTCTGCTGCCTTATCTGGTTTCGCTTAAGAATCAACCCCTGATGACTCTACCTCTAAGCAGCCCGATCCCTCCCCCCGGTGACACCAGGATGCATCCTATGCCAAAAGCCTTGACGCTCCACTATTCTATGCAAAATCATGACCAAAGCACATCCCTCCGTCCGTCTCCAGAATTGAGCATATCTTGTCTCCCCCCAAGCATACTGTAAACCCAGAGCAGACAGACAAGACCCCCTAATCTTCTTCATCACTAGGACCTCCCTGCTTTCCCTTGACGCTCTTCCACTCGAGGGCGAACGCACCTAAGGCGGAGAACGCGGCCATAAAGGTACCGGCGATGAATACCCAGTGCAGCGCGGAGTTATACTCGACCAAAACGGCGTGAAGGTCCTTGACGGGGACGATCCTACGTAGGTCAGTGGCACCGGTGTTGACGATGGTTTCGGGGTCAAAGTCGTCGATGACGCGGGTCAGGCCGGCGAGGGTCTTCTGACCGAAGACGTTCTCGCCAACGGAGGCAAAAATAGCACCGCCTAGCTGCTGGCAGAAGAAGACGAGGGAAAAACCGACGGGAATATCGCGGGGCTCGAGTACAGTCGGGACAGCAATAGTGGCGTGCTGCATTCCTAGGCCGATACGAAAGCCTAGGATGATCTGGTAGCCGATCCATATACCGGAGCTCGTGTCAACGCGCCAGGTAGAGATAAGCCCGGCACCGACAGGCATCAGGCAGGAGGATGCTATAGTAAAGGAGGTATAGTAGCTTAGCGGACCGACTAGCTGGCCGGATATAGTGTTGCCGGCGACTAGGGAGAGTACTAGCGGCAGGGTATCAATGCCAAACTGTACCGCAGTTAGGTTCTTAATCGCTTGTAGCCAGATAGGTAGGTAGTAGAGTAAGCAAAGTGAGGAATCACCTAATCATAGCATGATGCTTGTACTAATCACTGAAAAGTAAAACTTAGGCATGTATGCCCCCCAACAGAGAGCCCTAGAATGGGAGTTGTATGTTGTACGAAATAGGAGAAGAGAGAGTGGGTGAATCTGGCCACTGTTCGGAAGCCAAAGCGTACCCGGATAAGTGCTGTACGCTGAACAGTGTGCAGGTGCTAAAGGTAGGTTTTGTCTCGCAGCTGGTCGTGGCAGACGTTGACGCATAGTCGAGGACCGGTGTAATACACGCTTCATGGAGTTGTCGTTTCTGTTCTAGGCGTAGCTGTCGTAGTCCACCTAGGGCGATGTTGATTTATGTAGCTTGCTTGACATTAGGTCTACCCTAGTGTGCCAATCATGGCTACAAATTTTCAATCACCTATGCGGACATAAGGACCAGTCTTCACATTGGGCATTACATCTTCATGAAAGATACGGCCATGTTTACGTATGGCTCCAGACGAGCTGAGTTACTCCAATTCAAGCTTGGAGGGATGTCTAAAACAAATAGACCCGACATGGTGCACTTTGTGATGGAACACAACCAGGGGCAATATCTGACAGTCAATAAATTGATCTATAAAATTGTATTGGGGGTGTAGAGAGTGGGGCTTAGGATGGGCCGCTTAGGGAATAGTGTGGATGTTCGGTGGAGAATAAAAGTGGGCTGTGCCATTACCTTTGACACCACTCTTCCTCTTACATCTACTATACATAGAATGGCTGGCCACTCAGCGGCCTATGGTCAAGCGTGTCTGGGCTGTTTCAAGACTAAATGCAAATGTATTCCTCGTCCCGAGGGCAATGGTTGCGAAAGGTCAGTCCGGGTTGTTCTTCCAAACCCCAACCTGTGGGCACTCATTCGATATTATATATAGGTGCCACCGTCTCAAGCGCCCATGCCATCCCGCCGATGCGCTACGTCGCAGCGCTAAAAAGCATAGCTCATCGGGTGCCCGTATCGCGAAACTCGAGGGGACACTCGACCAGCTAGTCTCGCTGCTCCAAGCGGGCAATGTCAACGCGGGCATCATGAACAACGCCCACGGCGACAGAGTCGATGTATGGTTGTATAGAAGTAGTAGTGATCATCACCGTAACCATACTAATAATATTGACAATAGCCACCCCCTCGCGTCATTCCATCATACCAAGACGAGGTCGCAGAGGGGACCGAAGGAAGTGGCATTATGGAGGACTCGCATCCCGCTCCTATCGACGAAGACGACGAAGATACCGATGCTGACACCACCGCTGTATCTGATTCTTGGTGGGCGACAAGCAATACGAGCGGCGTTGGCGCCAACGGTATCCCTCTCGCCAGATCACCATCCTCGACCATGCCGGGCATGATTAGGTCGCCCTCTGTACCCCCTTCCACCGCGTCGATTTCCCTTGACACGTTCAGATCGCGTATGCTGCATCACTTCCCATTTGTTCATTTGCCTGCCCACCTCACGGCCGAGCAGCTGCAGCTACACCGGCCGTTCCTGTTCCGCGCAATTATCTGCGTGGCATCGGCATCGGGGGAGGAGAAGAGGGAAAGCTCCCTTGAACTGAAGCGTGTCCTCTGCGAGACGGCATTTCTAAAACAACCACAGCGGCAGAAACATCAAAAACCACAGCAAACAGTCGATCTGCTATTAGGTCTCCTTGTCTACATTTTGTGGGGCTGGGAGCACCTGCACAACCGTCGTAGTCTGTCTCGACTCATGGGGGTGGCTATCTCGTTGGTCGGGGAGTTACGTTTTCTGGATCAAACTGCTCCAGGAATTACGCACACAATAAACGAGCTCGAACTAAAAGCCGGCTTCGACGGTGTGTATGGCAGCACTTCAGAAACTACGGCAACAACGACAGCGACAAGAACGCTGGGTGCTGGAGTGACTAATACCCAGTTCTACCTCGAGCGCCAGCGAGCCATTCTAGGGTGCTTTGTGCTTGGATCGGCCGTCTCAGCATACTTCTCCCAAATCGATGCGCCGTCGTGGATACCTCAGATGGACGAGGGCCTTTCTGCCCTTATCGCCAGCGGCTACAGCGCCGACGCAGAATGCCCGTCTGATGCCGCCCTAGCTATTCAAGTCCGCCTGCAGCTGCTCGCCATGAAAGCCGCCCAGGTCCGTGAGCGAGCCCAACTCCCGGATCACCCTCCGCCGGAGACCCTTTCACCTCAAGCTCTCTTGTACATCAAGACTCTGATGGGGCAGCTACAAGAGCTCAGGACCTCTATCCCTCCGGCATTCCAGCAGCACTTCCGTAGGTGTTAAGCTCAGCACAAATTTCCATCTAAAATATATTGCTAATCGATAAGTAGTTCTCCTCGCTCAGACATACTATACCGAGATGTGCATTATCGAGACTATCCACATCCAGGAGTCCGCTCACCCACAACCACCGATATGTGGGCCTACGCGCATCTCCTGCTTTTGGCAGTCAGCACTTGCGATCAAGTCGTGCACATCAACCTTTCTAACCCTCTCGCCGTCTGAACTTCTTGGTGTTTCTTTTATCCAGTGGGCTCAGCTGGCACGGTGCGTGGCCACCCTACACCAACTCAGCGCACTCCAGGAGCCTGGCTGGGATCCAGCCAGTCTGCGCAGCCTTGTTGATCTTCATGTGCTGCTATCCCGCATGGCAGACAAGCTAGAGCTCGCTGCTGCTGAAGCTGGCGAACACCCGGTGTCAGTAGACGGTGTATTCACACAACTGGCCCGCGGCCTACGCATGTTCCAGTCGGCTTATCATGATAGAGTGCCGAACCAACAGGAAGAGGTACATAAAGCAATAGAAGCAGGAAATATACCATGGGCCAGGGCGGATGCGGATACGGCTACAGTTGTGACTACGGAAGCAGATACAGATGTGTTGGCAAATGGCCAACAGGGAGAATACTTGATGAGTCCCACGTTATGGCTGGATCAATTCTTTGACTATGAAGATCAAACAATGGCTTGACATACTTGTATTGTTAACAAAGTTATTTACTCATCGCGAACCACTATTACACAAATATAATGAATTACATTACGCTTCCCTAGCCAACACGTAGAAAAGGAGCTTTGACACAATAAACGGTAGGGTAATTACCGTTCTGGGCTATAATGGCCTGTTTTGAAACTACAGCCAACCACGTACCGTAATCGTTCCAGTTCATCCTGTTATTAGTTATAAAATATGGTGTGCTTAGCTTAGCAGGCCGGACATACCCCTAAGTCCGGCGACCAATAGGGGCAGAACTAGGGACCGGATTTCTAGATTCCGGTTCCGACTTAAAGCAACGAACCCTAACTCAAGGGGTTTACTCAATGGCTCAGTCATCAGATTCCGGTTCCTGTCCTAGGCTCTTGTTCCCTTTCTGGCATCACGTAGTCAGTGGTGTTATATATCTTCCAATGGCTGCATTCTAAGCTAATCGTCTTTGCTCCCAACAACTACTAAGATAGTTCTTGGCATCAGGACGGAGATAGCAAAAGTCAGCCCCAACCATGACCAACTCCAACAATTCAGTTAATGCAAGTAAAGTACTATCGAAGGGTACTAGTGATGTTGAGAAGTACGGCTCCGATAGCGTCACCTCCAATAACGAAGCCGCAGACGACGACAGCAAGTTTCCCACTGGCATAGCCTTATGGTCCATCCTAGGTCCTATTACAATTGCCTACTTCCTCGTCTTCCTTGACATGTGCGTCGTGTCTACCGCAACCCCCGCCATAACACAGCGATTCAACTCTCTGGTCGACGTCGGCTGGTATGGCGGTGCGTACCAGCTCGGTAGCTCCGCCCTCCAGCCTCTTACCGGCAAGATCTACAGCCACTTTAGCATCAAGGTAGGTCGTTCTGTGATTTCTTAAAAAGAGACGAAAAGTAAAAATTTGTTAACTTTGGAAACAGTGGTCCTTCCTCGTCTTCTTCTTTGTCTTCGAGCTCGGATCTGTCATCTGTGGAGCTGCTGTCTCCTCGCCCATGTTCATTGTCGGTAGAGCCATTGCCGGTGCGGGCTCGTCCGGTATTGGAAACGGCGCCCTGACCATTATATCTACTGTATTGCCGGCTAGGAAGCAAGCTCAGTTTCTGGGCATCAACTTAGGCATCGGCCAGCTCGGTATCGCCTTGGGCCCCATGATTGGCGGTGCATTCACCCAAAATGTTACGTGGCGTTGGTGTAAGTGGTTTGGTCGTCTTCTTCATTAAGCTCCTTGGTCGCCGTCTTTGTGTTAATACTTTTCTTCTCCTTGCAGGCTTTTATATCAACCTTCCCATTGGCGGTGCTCTGGCCATTCTACTGTTCCTCTTCAAGATTCCCGAGCCGACCACCAAGCTGCCCCCAAGACAAGTCCTCAGCACAGCCGTCAAGTCCCTGGATCTTCCGGGGTTTATGCTTATCAGCCCCGCTGCAGTCATGTTTTTGCTTGCATTACAATATGGCGGTACCGTCCACCCATGGAATAGCTCTGTTGTTATCGGCCTTCTAGTTGGCGCCGCTGTTACTTTTATCCTCTTCCTTATCTGGGAATACCACCAGGGGGACGGTGCCATGGTACCATTTTCCATGATCAGAAAGCGCATTGTGTGGTCTGCTGCGGGTAACTTGTTCTTCCTTCTCGGCGCCATTTTGGTGGCCGAGTACTATCTCGCCATTTACTTCCAAACCGTTCTCGACGACAGGCCGGTCATGAGTGGTGTGCATCTACTCCCAGCGACTTTAGGCTTGGTGATTTTCACCATGCTCTCGGGAATGATGAGTTCGTTATCACCCTTTCTCCTTTTTTAACTCCTCAAAAACTAAGACTAAATTAATGTTTCGCAGCCGAGATCTTAGGGTATTACCTGCCCTGGAACCTGGGAGGAAGCCTCCTGACCGCCATTGGCTATGGCCTCATGTCTATGATTAAACCCACGACTTCGTCCTCAAAATGGATTGGCTACCAGGTCCTCTATGGTGTTGGCAGCGGTGCTATGACCTCGGCAGTGAGCTTAATTCCCAATATTCTATCTCTTCTACATCCCGAATCTGATTTCTAACTTTTGCTTTTGCCTGAAGCCCTATGTAGCTATCCAAAATCTTGTGCCCCCTGCGCAAATTCCTATTGCGATGGCTATCATCATCTTTTGTCAAAACATGGGCGGTGCCGTATTTCTCATTGTTGCCAATTCCGTCTTCACCAACGGGCTGCGCAAGGAGCTCCAGAAGCACATCGAAGAGGTTGGCGTCAGCCCGGAAATCATCCTCGGTACCGGACTCAGTTCCATCCGAAGCATTGTTTCAGGTGATAAGCTCACGGCTGCGCTGAAGTGTTATACCACGGCAATTAGCCATGTTATGTACCTCGGTATCGGAGTCAGCGTAGCCACGTTTGCCTTTGGCTGGGGGCTGGGCTGGGTTGATATCCGGAAGGTGAAGCAACTGCAGGTCATTCAGGCGTCGACCACCGAGGAGAACGTGGACTCCACGACCGAACATTCGATCACAGCCTAAGATGGAAAACGCATAAATGTTCATTAATTGTGTTACCAGGACACATAGCTCATTTAGGGCATCGGCCTGTTGATGGAAGATTGGGTGTTGCTAAGACCCCACATTTGATGTTTACCTTGCAGTTTCTTCGAGCTAGCTTTGGATATAATTGGGAGGTATGGTGCCTGATTTAAAGAGGAAAGGAGGTAGATAATTATATATAATATTATATTCTCTTTATTGCGCGTACTTTAGAGGGAATCTTAGCGTTCTAGGGCCGAGTGAAGTCGGCGGGTTGTCTATATGTAGGAGTTAGATGATATAGAGCCTGGAGGGGCGCTGTTTGCAGCAAGACGGTAGTTAGAAGAGGGATATTATGCCTCCTGCTTTCTTTTCCTTTCTTGAACCTGATGATTTGGCTTTTCTAGGGCCAAATTAAAGCCTTTTCCTCTTCCAACTTAGATCGATTTCCGTTATAAATTGCATAAAAATGTTTGTTCGATATTGCTTTACTACGTGGATAGCTAGATAGTCGCTAGGCTGAGAAGACGCCGATACATTAATCTCTTAGCTTCATAGTGAGACAACAATCTTTTTTGCTGAAACACCCTGCATATGGATTCCAAAAGCCTCCTGTAACTTTTCCAGTCCCTGGCCCACAACCATCGCTTCGGGTGCTGGCACAAACTGCCTGTTGGCGAGTGCATCAGGGAGGTAGCTCGTGTAAACTTTGCCCACGACAGAGTCGGGGCCAGCTGCGTCCGGGCCGAGTAGGATGAACTTGACCTGGATGGTCGGGTCAATGATGCTACCCCCGGGCTTGCCGCCAGCGAGAGCAATAACTTTATTGACAGAGGGGCCCTCGTGCCTTCCCAAGACAGCGGCCAGGAGGTCGATGGAGCCGTCGCCGATGGAGTAGCCACCGGCCAGGTGGAGTCCCTTGACAGCGGCGCTAATGTCGTCGATCACGGTGTCACTCTTGTAGTCAAACACATGGGTGGCACCGAGCTTCTGGACATAGTCGAAGTTCTTGGGAGACGCCGTCGACACAACCTCGTATCCGGCAGATACGGCCAGCTGAATTGCGGTGCTACCAACAGCGGATGACCCACCGGTAATGACAACAGCACGCTTTTCTCTAGACTGACGTGCGGGCACGGTGGGCAAATCAAGGCCTAGGTAGCCGGTGTCAAACAGGCCATGAGAGGCTGTGAAGATAGCTAAGGGTAGAACACTGGCCTGCTCAAAGGTAATGCTGTCTGGCAGTGGTGCGGCCAGCCACTCGCGGATGACTGTGTACAGCTGGAAACCGCCCTCGAAGGAGCTGTTGACGGAGATGGCAGAAGCCGCTGCCACAACACGGTCGCCGACGTGGAAGCGCTCTACGCCCTCCCCCACCTCAACAACGGTGCCGGCTACGTCCTCGCCGAGAATAAAGGGATAGGTGATGTGGCCTAGCAAGGCTTCGCCGAGCATCTGCTTGGCCCAGTCAACCGAATTGATTCCCAGTGCCCTGTTCTTCACCACAATCTGGTGAGGCCCGGGCGAGGTGTACGGCGCCGGGCTGATCTGAAGCGGCGTGATTTGGGAGGCGGGTAACCAGGCGGCCTTGTTCTCTGGGGTCTGGGCCATTGTTGAAGTTCCTGTTATAGAAGCGTGACTAGGTACAGTATAAGCAGAAGTAGTAGTAGCTGTGGTCGCTTTCAGATGACACGAACAGGCACGTTTGCTGAGCAAGTTAAGAATGCAGAGCGATGTTGTTGGTACCTTTTCTGTGTAGTATTGGGTTTATATATATGCGAAAACTGATAAAGCCCCTACAGAGAGAGGCACCCCTCCGGAGTGCCCTGCGGTGTGATGTACGGAGTTAGGACAGTCAGTCATTTTCGAATAATTGATGACAGCGTCACAATAGCTAGAAACAGCAGAATGGAAGACGGAATTAAGGGCTTTATTTTAAGATAACGCCGTGCCCACCGGCGACAGGAATCTGAATACCGGCCGATTCCGTCTTTTGTCGAGGACCGGATTCTAAGACTCCGGTCGTTCTCTAGTTCGAGTAATCCAAAAATTTTGCTAAATTAAAAAACTAATACTATCTATTCCTTAGTCTTGTTCTCATAGATATTTCATTAGCCAAAATAAAAGTGTTAATGTCTTTGGGGTTATCAAAAGAAGTCAGCCGAGCTACGGTCCAAAGTAGATCAAATAAACATATTTCTACTTTTCGCTTGCTCAAAGGTGGCATTAAGTAGAGAGTTGAACAAGTAAACAGGCTTCGTAAAGCGCGCTCCGCGCACTTGCATTAAAGACTACTTGCTAAACACAAGTATGTATCGTATCACTTATAACATTTTCAGATACAAACACCGCAATTGGTATATCAAAATCATAGCATAGACACAAGTCACCTAGTTCCGAGCATGCTCCACAGTAACAGCCCCGGGTTTTTCGCCTCCTTCGTGGCTCACCTGAACTCCCTTTTGGTGTGCCAGCACCTCCTCTCCCTGAGCAACGTGGTTGGCACCACCAAACAGAGTATCAATTTCCTCAAGGGGAACCTGCTTGGTCTCCGGAATGAGGAACCAAACGAATAGTGCAAGTAGGAAGTTGATACCAGCAAACATGTAGAAGGCATAGAATCCCTCGTTATCAAGGAAAATAGGGAAGAATTGCTGCACGATGGCGTTGGCGATATTCTGCGTCTGCGATGCCATGCCCACGGCCTGGGCGCGGACGTTCATTGAGAAAATCTCGGACGTCCAGATCCATACTGTTGCACCCCAAGATGGTTTGTCTAGGAAACGAATGTTAGTATTGTTTCGTTTGTGGTGGGGGTAGTGAGTAGAGGGAACTTACAGAAGAATATGAACAAGAATAGAAGGAACACAATCGATATACCGACTGGCTCTGACTTGGCTCCGTTGGCGAGTTGTGGTGTTTCTGTTTCGACAGCAGAGACAATGATCATGCAGAGACCCATGCCGATACCACCGACAATCAGAAGGAACTTTCTTCCGAAACGATCAATAATCCAGACAGCGTTCAAGGTGAAGAAAATTCCAAAGGTGGCGTTCAGTGCATTGATCAGAGCAATCTGACTGTCGCTGGTAAACACCTTCTGGTAGATCTTGGTAGAGTACGAGTTGAGTGAGCCTTGTCCGGTGATCTGTTGACCGGCATTGAGGACCAGGGCCAGACCCATGCGCTTGCGCAGAGACTTGTCCTTCCAGAGAGCAGAGTAATTGCTAGAGATGGCTTCTCTCTCGTATTCGATGGCCTCGCGAATCTCCAATAGCTCTTGCTCGACTTCCTCCTCAGTATCACGAACTCTTTGCAGTGCTTCGCGAGCCTTCTCGATATTGTTGCCTCTCTGGATATACCTAGTGATGGTTAGAATTGCTTGTAGCGAATGGGAAATTACCAAAAGTGACTTACCAACGAGGGCTGCCGGGAACAGTCGGCAGGAGGACAAGGATCAAAGCAGGAACCAAAAGCTGGAAAATGACAACCAACTTCCAGTCCCACTCGCCCAGCTTAGGAACATTCTTGGTACAGGCAAAGTTAATCCAGAAGCAGATGAATGATCCAACGGAGTAGAACATCTGCCAGAAAGTCATGATCTTACCACGGATCTCTGGCGGGGCCAGTTCACCAATGTAGATAGGGCCCGCAGCTGCGAACTTCGTTAGTTCATGTCATTGAAACCACACGATCAACAAGACTTACTCAATGCAATACCCTGGCCAATACCAATGATACATCTACCTGCAAGGAAGCAAGCAAGGTCATGGCGAGGAGAGAAGGTTTGCATAAAGGTGGCAACAATGACCAAAACACAACCAATGCCCATTCCAAGCTTGCGACCTAGGAAATCTGCACATGGTCCTCCCAGGAAGAAACCACCAAAGATAGCGCCGACCGTGTATGCTGTATTAATTGAGCCGATTGTGGCCGCATTTGGGTTGTTCATCCAAGCTAGCCAGTTCTTAGAGCCCTGAACGGAGTTGAACACGGATGCATCGTAGCCGTAAAGCACCATACATGATGCTGCAACACAAGAGATGTACCTAGGAAGTTGGATCAGATTGTGTTCTTCGGAGTAGATGATTGTGTAGCAACCAACCAATTGTACGCTCTCTTGCGGGTCATTAAAAGGCCCATTCTGGTGGGATGGGATGGGACTGGTTTGACAGTGCGGTTGAAGATCTTTACCAGATCGATAGTGTCACACTCCACAAATTTATTTAAGAAAGGGGGCAGTGACAGTAGCCCTCAAGTAATGTGAGAGAACAGTTAAAGATGAGCTAAACTCCAGGGGGCCACCTGAGTGGGCGGAGGCTGCAGCTATATAAGACACGATAAGGACATTCCGGGGGCGGAACTGCAACTCCCATGTGAGCAAAGAAACGCCACGGAGTGGATCAGACCATCCCCAGAGTTCACAACCCCGGACACGCTAAGCATATTTTGGCATTCAGATAACTGGGAGCCGTTGCCTTCAGGATCGCTGAGTGGTGGGGTATCTGGAGTCAATGGCACATGGGTAGGGCGTATCTCATGCCCATTCAATTTCTCATTGGTTTGGAGCTTTCTCAAATGCGCTAGCCGGACCTGGGGTAATGGGGATCTGGGGTTCGAGGATATTTTTCAAGCTCTCGTTCCGGCGAGATGAAGTTGGGGGGGTTTCCACGAATCGCGGGGTTGGATGCCGGTGGCTTGGGAGAAAGCTAAGTCCACCAATAGGGTAAACGGATAAATGGTGAAGGATTGAAGTATGTAGGTAGATTTAAGACATTTGACAAGGGCCCTAAATTAACCAAGCAAGAGATAATAAGCGAACTTGGCTTCCGTGATTCTTTTGGGCTGGAGATAGGGCTGACTTTATCCGTATCCCTTCGTAGAGACGTCCACGGGTAGAGTTAGGGCAACATTTTATTACTGCGTTGTATACCCAGCTGATATTACCGTTTTTTTAGGGCATCTTCCAAGGTTGTCTATTAGGCTATGTACCTATCTCCTACAATATTTTCTCTTGTGCATGCCGAATTTAACCGAGGAACAGAAAGTAACATGTGCAACATGGCCGATGCCTAACGCGTTGCTACCTTAACTCAACCACCATACCTTGTTTTATTCTGACCGGATCTCATTCAAATCTTAAAATTGATACAAGCGAAATGAACCCATAAGAGGGGACGTGATACAGACGAGATCTACCAATTTCCCACTCTGATGGGGCTGCATCAACGATTGTATTAGCGAGAGCCCATGGATTAATTGGATTAATTGGATTGATTTTTACAACAAATGTTTCATTTATAATCTCAATGCCCGGTCTGGAATATCAAGTCTTTTCGAGCGATCGATTAGCTTAAGGTGTGCTACGCCTCGTCCACAGCAAGTATCGATAATATTGATATTAGATCAACACAAAATAGCATCGTCGTCTAACCAGTTTGCCCAAAAGACGCGTGGCTTGCTGTACGCGTCGCAACTATGATGTCTAAGAAAGAAATAATCGTCCTGTTTCCTGGAGAGATAATATTCGTGAAATAGACGCCTAGCTCCGTAGCACCTTCCATTTCTATATCATATAAGATAAGAACAAAATTGAGAGTGGATGATATTTGCAAGTTAATTCCGGACCTTATATTCTACAGACCTATTATTGCCCACGCAACCTAGTTAAATAGTACCCTTATATAGAGGGAGGCGCAATTGTAAAAGCGTATCAATCTCAGACATGACATTCGAGTCACCGATTATGGCTGCTATATATAGACAATATACAAAGTCCAGATTAGTACGTAACCTAGACCGTTCCCTCTAATTTATACGATCATCTGTTTACCACGATGACAGGTAATCGCCGGCCTTACGCATTCGTCTGGAGGTGGCCGTAGTGTAGCTAAACGACAACTATGAAGGTCAGTCACAAGAATGGATGCATCTTCTTACAGAGATAGAAATATCACATCACGTATTGCTGCCGCTATTGATAGCGTCGATTCCTCTGATCGCCATACGTTTCAGTGCTTACTAGATGATCGCTTGGCTCTCACGAAGAGAACAAAGATGCACTCCGCAAAATTAACCAAAGCCCTCATGGAGAGCCTCCTACATTTTCCCGCGGAGACTTGAACTCGGGAGTATACCTTGTACCGATGAATTATTTGGCCCCGCTTATAAATTCGTATCTCTCGATGATGCTAATCTACATATTTTCTTCTGGCTGACATTATCTTTTATTTACCCTCACATTCGTCAGTGCCAAATGCTTGCAGGGGTTGATGCAACTCATTGCCACAGAAGAGATCCTTCGGAAATATGCAGAACTGCATACATCTTGGAGGAGCCCCAATAACATATTTTACACCTTTTCATAGTCTATACTCCATGTTTGTGGCTAATTATTCTTATTCTCCTAGCTAAAGACCTCTAAGGACGAGGAAGCTACAAAAAGGTACTCTAAAAAGAATATCAAGAATACATCTCAAAGTACTTTAAAAGTACATCAAGAAATACATATCAAGGCCACATTAGTGGCCGACTACTCCTGTATATTTTAAACAGCATTGATCTCTGTTGTTGTGTCCCTATAAGAACAGACCGATCTGCGGATAATTGCATAGGATCCGGATTGTTCAAACCATGCTGCATAGTTGCATGTATATGGTATATCCTTGGTCAAAGTGCAATGTAGCATATTCAAAAATATTTCTGATCAATCATTCCATTTGCTTTACGGTCTGAAACATTGGTTGTTACCATATGCACCATATAGCCTCACTTTCGCCTCCAGGCATGCTCCTTCAAGACAACCACCCTTTTCCCCAAAAGCACAACGAAGCCTGAAGAATATATCTTTAGCCTAAGAAGATATTTCCCAAAGATTGCTTCCAAAGCTCCCCAAGGTGATTTGGTCTTCTAAGTATACGGATCACGTGCTCTCGTGATTTTCCCAAGCGCGATCCGCGACAGCGAAGGTCCCACCTTGATCTAGCAGGCTCAAGCTTTACTCTTCTTTGAACATATTTCCTCTTCTTTGACTTTACTATGACATACCTAGCTATATGAACACGATACTCCGCCTTCCAATCCAACCCATTCTATCTTTTTGACCACTCAAAATGCCACCGCGCAAATCGAAGAAAAAGCAGACGCGACTTGCCTTTGCTGCTTCAACCGCGGCACCTTCAGCGGATGTGAGCCCGGAGCAAAGCAACCGATATGCAACACTCACATACGGCAACCCAAGCTTGGGCACATACCGTCCTCCAAAGACTTCCAAAAGCAAGCCGGAGACTTCACCCGAGAAAAAACGGCCGAAGCTCCCCACCAAGACGAGGTCCAATGATAAACCCACAAGTACGATGATGCTCTTCCCCCTCGATGCAACCAGAAAGCTAAGATCCAAAAGATGAATTATTTATAGAAGCTCAATCGGACAATGATTCCCTAGACGAACCTATCATCCCCGCCTCTCAGAAGAGAAAGCAAGCCGCGCCACCTGATAACCTCGAGGTGTTGATCCACAGCCCACCAAAGCTCGATAACCCCCAAGATGCGAAGAAACCCCGCGCCCGGAAATTACAGCGACCCTTACAATTCTCAAACAAACAAACTGAGAACACAAATGATTCTGATTCGGAGGAGCTATCCCGGCCGCACCGAACACTCAAGCGAAAGGCCGCAAGCCCGCCGATCGACTCCAGCGACTCAGATGAGCCAGTGGCCTCTTCGGTCGCCAAACGGCGCAGGTCTACCCGAGGTGGCTATTCTTCAAGCTCACCTGTTATACTCAGCGACGATGATTCAAACGAGCCAGTAGCTCCTTCGACCGTCAAGAGGCGCAGGGTAGCAAGAACAGCCGATGTGTCCAAAGATGACGACGATGACTCGGACGAACCGTTGGCCTCCTCGCCAATAAAGAGGCTCCGACGTGGACAGGAGAAAGAGACTTCCCAGGCTCCGCAGACCCCCCGCCACATCTCGAAACAGGCCAGACTTGATATCGCAGAGGATTTGGAGGACCTCCAGGATTCAGGTAGGAACCCGTTGGCGCACGAGGCTTGTTTATTCATGCTGATACCAATGATGCGTAGTTGTTAAGAAAAGTCGAACTCGCGGCCGGAATATCGAATCTGCCCGAGACAAGAGAATGAAGCATCTTGAAGCCCTCCGTCGCAGACGGGCTGGTGTGAAAGATGAGGAGAAGGACGACGACAACGACGACGAAGAAGATGATGATGATAACAATGAAGACGAAGGGGATTCAGATGTGCAGGAGATTAAACGGCTCGGCAGCGATGCCAGTCCCTCTGGTCGTGGTCTCTGGCGGCATAACGACGATGACAGCGACATAGAATCAGCCATCGACCCCAACGAGAACCTTGATCGGTATGAAGACGACTTTGTTCTAGACGACGAGACGAACGACCTCGGCGTGCCCACCGAAGAGATCCCCTTCGAGTTCACCCGACATGCATATAAGCAGCCGAAGGAATACTTCCGCGACGTTATCGGCTGGATGGTGCAAAACAAACTAAACCCGGCCTTCCCTCGCTCTGACGACATGTACAAGATGGCATTCATGAAACTGGAAGATGAAGTCAAGGGTCGGGCGGGTTCACAGCTGATCTCCTCGGTTTGGAACCCCAGTTTCGTCTATGCCCTCCAGGCCCGGCCACACATTGAAATCGCCGCCTTCCCCACAGAGGAGAACCATCCCTGTGATGCTTGCAGGCGCTCTGGACATCCCGCTTCTAGTGATATAAAGCTCTGCGGGAAGGCGTATTCCCTACAGACGCTGGAGCCACTGGAAGATGAGAATGATGACAGCGACGACAGTGATGAGAATTCTAAGAAGGACGACGATGGAAAGGAGCGGGACCGGGATGGCCATATCATTCCTCCCGAGAATGTGCGGTATTTCCTAGGAAAGTAAGTTTCGTTTGGACAAGACAGTCATTTTGATCGAGCTCACCCTCTGACCGCTTCCTTTGTTTCGACAGACAATGCAAGGCGAGAGCCCAGCTCGCCCATACCCTCACCCACTGGCGCTACCATCTTAACGAATGGGTCATCGACTTCCTCGAGCGTACGGGCCATATGGATGACGACGAGATCCTGCGACGAAACAATTTGAGCGTCAAGCGGAAGACGCGAAATGCAAATGATGTTCTCGATAGCATGACTGGAACTGGTGAAGTCGATAAGCTTTGGCGGGACTTCCACATCAATCTCAAATCTGCTCGTGAGAAAGAGGTATGTCCTTGTTTGTTTGGTTTCGGGGTTTCCATGATGCTAATCTGTCCTCATGTCTAGTCCATCTACGGATGATGAGATGCTCATATCCAAGAGTCAGTTCACCAGAGGGTGAGTATTTATCCTCGAATAATGGCTTTATCATGAGCTCCCATGAAAAGATTACGACCCTTGTAACCAGATTCATGACATTGCTTTCCTCTTGCGAACTTTCTACGGTGCTTGAACATGCACAATGATACCCTTTTTTTTTTCTTTTTTTTTTTTGCACATTCCTACTCATGTTTTCCGGTTACCTTTAGCTACATAGCCTACCAAGATAAGGACCCACGGGCTTAGCCTAGAAATGGCAAGCTGGCCATCTCAAGAGACCATCTTCACAAAAGAGCCTACTTGATGTCTATATCCAATGCAGTTGTATGTAATCGTAGGCCTTCTTCCTCTAGCCCCCGTAAGAAGACCAGGACTACAGAATGCAAAGATAATCAAACCCATCCGTTTTCATTACCTGGACATGCACATGGGAAGAGACGAAAAAAAAGGTGTATAGAGAAACAGGAAGAAAGATGATTGGGGTTGTACAAATACATGCATGCATAAGCTGCCGGAGCCAAAATGTCAGAAAGCATGAGAGATGCGAGATAAAAAAAGGAAGTAAAAAAACAAGAAGTATAACAAAGATCCGAACAAGTCAAGACAAGAAGTGAATCGGGAAACCAACTCTTTCCGGGTGCTTGTAGTCCTGTATTTTGAGATCTGGCCAAAAAGGGTGATTGGCAGCATGTAACAGAATCACATCGCCATCGGCTTGGGTATGCTGTTTGCATAAACCAAGTCTCGTGGTCGATAATCATGTTGCTGGATCATTTGCCAATCTCTCTGCTTTCCGAAGTGGTATTAATTTACAGAGTGGGTTGAGCCACCTTCTCGGTTTCGGAGCCGGGGGTGAGCATCTGCGAGTAGGAATCATAATCAGTATAAGTTTGCAAAGACTGGCTGAAGAGAGCGAAAGTGGCTTGTGATGATAGTGTTGAGAAAAAAAAGAAGGATTTTGAAGATTGCCGAGAAGCGAATACCCGAGGCAATGTACACGGTGTAAATTGTGCGACGGCACGAATCGGGGATTGAAGATGATTGTAGCAATTTCGATAAAACCAAAGAAACAAAAACAGAAGAAAACACAAGACACGTACCTCGTTAGCTCCCTTGATCATTCCCTGCTCGCGCTCCATCTGGATGTACTGCTCCTCCTCGGCGTAGGCCAAGGCGAATGGCACACCGAGCAGGAAAGCACTGGTGCTGATAATCCAGAGAGCCTTGCCGCTGAATGAGAAGCTGGCCTTGGTGAGGTCTGTGATGGAAGAGACGGTGCTGGAGACAGTGCGGCGGGCGGAGGGGGGAATCATGTCTTTCAGAGCGGCGACACGCTCGTAGAGCGACTCGGCCTCGAGGTCGTCATCCTCTTCGTCGGAGATCTCAGAGTCTGTTTTCCATTGATGTCCTTGTCAGATAAGGGTCTTGATGTTTATTCGCGACTAATGTGTTCATTTCTGGGGTTCCGAGGTCGCGTCGTTGGGGGTTTGGGATAGGGACTGGGATAGGAGGGTATTCAGGGAACATAGTATCCTCTCATCGAAGCAATTTCCAATTCAAATGACAATGGCGCAATGCGAGTTCCGGGTATGGGCGTTCGGGATTCGGTACTAACCAGTGTCTGAGTAGTCATCCTCATCATCGGAGACCAGGAGAGCATCGTGCTTGGGGGCAGTGGGCTTGTCGGTGAAGTGCTCGTCTTCGACTTCAGTGAGCTTGACCATTTTGGGCGGTTTGGATGGGGATAACGAAGGGGCTCTAGTTGGAGGTGATGGTTGAATGATGGGAGAACGCTCTGGTTTCGCTCCGACTTTTTTGCCGAAAAGCGGCGAAGAGCTTGGACCCACCGGCAACGATGTCATTTGTTTTTTTGTGATCTTACGAACTGATGTTTGCAAGAATATTTAGCCAAGAGGATATTAGGGACGATGTATTAATAGTAGACACCGACATGTTATTGGATATTATTTTTTATGTGTATTTTGTAGACCCCTTTTTGAATGTCTTGTTGGGTCTCTTTTTAAATCTATAAAGGCGGTAAAAAGCAATGAACTGCACAGTTGAGAAAGGCTAGGTGTTCATATAAAGCCTGTTTTGAAAAGAGAGGTGTATTCTACAAAGTCGAAATGCTGGCCGTAGTCTATAATTACAGATTATCCTCTAGATGCGACCACCACATCTTATGTTCGGCATGCGTCCACGCGAGTCCAGAGGTATAGAATCATCTATTTACCGTCGGCCAAGCTTCCACCGGGCAATGCGCTCTTGGATCTCCTCCCAGGGGAAGCTCCGGAGCTTATAACCTTCCAACTCGCCCTCCTGCAGCACAACAGTAGGCTTACCGGTGCCCTTGCCCTCGTTGTCGACCTGGCCACCGAAGACCTTACGAGCAACGCGGCGGAGGTCCTCGACAGTAAGAGCCTCAATCTGCTCACACATCTCCCGGACACTAACCTTGCGGCCGTGGACCTGCACTTGGCGTCCAAGATCCTCAAGCTCAACCATGCGAGACTCCAGGTTCATGAGCAGCGAGGAACGGAGCTGGTTCTTCGCACGGTTGACTTCCTGCGCTTGCAGTGAGCTGTAGCCAGTGTCCAAAGTCAAGGACTGGAGCTCACGGCACATGACCTCGACCATCTCCGTGATCCGGGTCGGGCTACAGGATGCGGAAATTCCGAAGATTCCACTATCGGTGTAGCTGTGATTGAAAGCAATGCAGCTCTCGACCCAACCGTGCTGGTTCAGCACGTTAGTATAGAGTCGCGAGTACATACCCTTTCCAGGCCCACCAGCCGAGAATGAGCCACCACCACCAAGGAGGGTCTGGAGAGTAGCGAGAGCATAGATATCAGGCGAGGAGATGGGGAGAGCCTCGAATGCAAGGTGGATGTGACTCAGGCGAGGAAGCATGGGGCTCGCTGGCGGGGGAATCGAAGGAAGGGCAATGAAGCCACCAGTGTAGTGAGCAGGTTGTCGGAGGTTCAGCGCGGATGGCTTAACCAGGGATGAGTGGAGAGGCTCGACCGTGGAGTTCTTGGAGGGAGAGAGGTTCTTGAGGAATGGAAGCTTCGACAAGAGTGAAGTGTGTGTTTTTTGGGAAGCAGCCGGGCTGCTGATTGTAGATGAGGGGGTGAAGGAAGGAACGGTCGGCACCTGGCCTTCGTGGGCGGCCGCTTGGGAATCAGATAGTGTGGTTTCGATTCCACTGCCGGACAGTACAGGGCCCTTGGTATTGCTAATGTCCCTCGGCTTCATGTCGCCGAAGTACTGCTCTGTGAGCTTAACGGCCTCCCCATGGGGCACTCCGGCAAACGCGACCACCATCCGATCCGGGTTGAAGAAGAGTTCCCTATACCGCTCCACCACTGCCTTATTGATTTCGCCCAACCGTTCTTCCGGGCACAATAGCGGGTTTCCAAGGGTGTTGTCGGCATAGGCAGTCATATGCACTAATTCCGGAAGGATGAGTTCCGGCTTCGCCCAAATCTCGCCGATCTCGTACTCCGCAGTTGCGAGCTGTTGGATAACCTCCTCTTCGGTGATGAGGGGGTCGCGGATGGTCTCCGCAAGCAAACCGAGCGTGGTAGGAACTGCCGAGTTGAAACTGGCAGACTGGTACATCAACGATTCCCGAGATGAGGCACACTGGATGTTACCGCCGAGGGACTCAAGAATCTCAAGCATCTCATCTCCAGTACGCGCCTTGGTAGACTTGAAGGCTAGGCGGTCCATAATGTGGCTGACTCCGCGCAGGCTCTCATCTTCATAACGGGATCCGGCATCGACGTAGACTCCAACACCAGCGAAGGGACCCGGTAATGATTCCGTGGCAACGCGAACTCCATTTGAAAGTGTGGTGATTTGTTCTAATTCGGCGGGATCCTGTAGATAAACAAATGGATTGTCAGTTACAGATGACGCTACGTTGCAGGGCCTAAAAAGGCTCTCTTACCTTGGCCAAGTCATTGATGGTAGAGAGGCTTCTTGACACGGCGCGAGGAGCTCGTGTCAATGGCTTCGCCGACTCAATGGCCCGCAATGCTGTGCGGCGCATGATGGTTAATTCTGTACAAATCCAACAGCGTAATCAATTCGGGATTTCTTGGTGCACCGAATATATCCGGAAGAGGTGATGTAGCTCGGACGGATTGTCGGCGAAGAATCGTAATGGAGCCTCGATCCGAGAGGCTTAGCTAATCCGTTGCATGATGGATGGCCCAGATGTTCTTTAGTGACATAGCAGATTGAAGTGGATAGTTAGTTAACTAAATCTTTTACGATCATATTATTAATGTTTTTAACAAGAAGCGTGTTCTTTATAATTTTTTGTTTCCATTCGTGTCTAGATGCAGCAGGGCTGCCCAAGTCCACTTACCCCAGAGCCAAGACCTGCAGGGCTCGAATATATACTCATGAACATTTTGAATAGGGAATATTGATGACATACAATCTGCAGCAAATAACAATGAATCATCAATTTTTTATGTAATAAAAGATTTAAAGTAACTAAGGGTGTTCCGAGGCCCAGTTTCTGTACCAATTAAGGCATGATGCATTTGCAACACTCGCACCAATCTTGATGTTAAGCCCACACAGAATCTGCTTGACAGCATTCTCGACCTTCTTGCCATTAGAAGTCACCGGAATCTCAGGACATACGTCAATAATGCCAGGGACATGGCGGGGACTAAGCTCCTTGCGAATGGTGGACTGAATGCGTGCCACGAGATCCGCCGGCATACCAGACTCGTTGCCAGAAGCAAGCCGGACAAACAGAACGACGGTTTCATCGGTGTCAATGCCATCTCGCCTCCGACCAATGCAAAGAGAATCTTCCACATCGTCGGCGAAATGCTTGAGTAGAATATTGTAAATCTCGGCACTTCCAAATCGCACTCCGGATGGTTTGAGTACGCCGTCGCTGCGGCCTAGCATGACCACACCTCCAGTTTGTGGGTTGAAGCGCACGTAGTCTCCATGGTGCCAGACTGAGGGTCCGAACACGTCGAAGTAGCTCTTTCGGTACTTCTCCAAGCCTGTTGGTCCCGGGGGCCAGAACATGACTGGTTGGGCTGGGAAGGGTGTAACGCAGACAAGATCACCAGGCTCGCCTGTTGCACTAATATCATTGCCAGCATAGTCAAACACTGAGATGTGCATTCCCAGAGACCGACATTGGATTTCTCCTTTGTAAACTGGGAGAATGGGGCAGCCGGAGGCGAACAGAGAGAGGATGTCGGTGCCGCCGGTGATAGAACCAAGCATGATGTCTTGGTGGAAAGAAGAGTAAACGTATTCAAATGTAGATGGTGCTAATGGGGAGCCGGTACTGAAGATGGCCCTTAGGGTCTTCAGCGACACCCGTCTATGGGCGTGCTTGCGCGGGTTCAAAGCAGCTTGTTCGAGGAGAGAGAGGTATTTAGCTGATGTACCGAAATGGGTAACTTGAAGCTCTTCGATCAGTCGCGGCATGGCCATTTCTCCCTTTCCGCCTTCAGTATCAAAGGGTCGGAAGGGTGAACCATCGTACAGGACGATCGTTGCTCCACTGGCTAAGCCTGATACCAGCCAGTGCCACATCATCCAGGTTGTCGTTGTGAAGTAGAACAAGCGATCACCTGGTCGAATATCACAGTGAAGAAGATGTTCTTTCTTGTGCTGCAGCAATGTGCCTAGAGACCCATGAACGATAGGCTTGGGAGCCCCTGTTGTACCGGACGAATACAAAATATAGACAGGGTGATCCGGTCTCAAGCTTGCAAACTCCAATGGGGCCTGAGAGTTCTTGACCTCAGACACAAAATCATCATAGACCTTTGCTTTTCCATTTGCAGGTCGAAGGCCATCTAGGTTAACTTCAAGTTCCGGGGTAGTGATCAGGAACACCAAAAGCTCAAGGTTTGGCAATTCAGAGACAATCTCCCATACCTTGGCATGTGAGCTATGCACCTTGCCATTGTAGAATGAGCCATTGTCGGCAAATAGAATCTTAGGTTGGATCTGCTTCAAGCGTTCCAAGACAGCATGCACACCAGTGTCAGGTGACACGCCAGTCCAAAAGGCCCCGATCGAGGCTGCGGCCAACATTGCCACGACGGTATTAGCATGATTGCCTACGAAGCCAGCGACGCGATCACCGGTCTCCAGGCCTGCTTCTTTCAAAGCGTTTGCGCACAGCCGAACTCGCTCTCGCAGCTCCTTCCACGAAATGAATTCGCGGGCTGCTTCGGTAGCGCCAATCACTGCTACGGAATCCTCATCCGGCGAGGTGGCGGGATACAAAAGATTCTCGGCGAAGTTCAAAGTGCTGCCTTCGAAGAATGAAGGTCTAGGAAATAGCACATCTTTTGAGTCAAGGACCTATTTAGATTGGGTCAGGATCGGATATCTCATGTCCAAGATAATGCATCTAGGTCCGAATGGGAATTACTCACCTGTTGGTATGGATAGTGAGCGTTGATTTTCGTATAGCGCCAGATTTCCTCCCAGAATTGGGCTGGTTCAGAGACACTCCATTTCCAGAGAGCATTGTAGTCATTCAGTGACAAGCCATACTTTTTGTTTACTTTGGTCATGAAATCATAGATCTGGGTTGTTTCAGGAGAGGACGGCCGCCAGAGCTCCTTAGCCTCCGGCTCAATGATTTCGATATGAGGCATAGCTGATGGTGTTTGTGGCAATAGCGCACACGGTCAAGCTAGAGATTCGAATTCGGAGTGTCGAGTATGTAGACCGTAGACTGTAGAATGATATTGAACAAATTCAATTGTCTAGAACCCAAGACAATGTGGCGATAGACCTCCCAACAGATTTGAAGGATTTGATAGGGCTTCACAGCAAGGGTCAAAGCTTGAACCTGTCA